GTGCCACGTTCCAAGTACCAATCCCAGTTTTCTAAAATACCAGGTGACGCCTTCAGATCACCTGTGTCGTCAGACCAACAGAAAACATTCAATATTTTTGCCTGAAAAATGAGGATTAGTCGATTATTGAAATTGTTGCTTTTTTAGGGCTTTTCCAACATATAACCAGAGAGTAAAGTTAGCCACAATACTGTTCAAACATCAATAACATTTAGTGAAATTACCATCCCAAGTCATAATAGTCTGAATGATGCTGTACACGAGTTGTAGTTGTCTCTCGGCTTGTGTTTAGTCAGTCAGAATCGTTCAGCTCTGCAAACTCAAACCCAGTTGTTGGGTCTTCAGAAAGTCCTACTTAAGGAGCAGGAAATTTATGGGGCCAAAACTGGAACCAGGTTCCTGCTGTTTAGTAGTGCACTCACTGTCTCACCTGTAACTGTCCTCCTATCTTTTAGTTGCCGGGCAGGAAGCAGGTGTATGGTCTGGACTCAGTGGATTCGGGTTCTGGTTCAGGTTCTGTGGAATCAGCTCAGCTTTTCCTTCAACAGAGTTTAAACAGGGTCAGCACCATCCAGAACCTGGAAGCACCTGGAGCTCAGGACCTCCTGGATTTCACTATACGGTATACACACACACACACACACACACACACACACACACACACACACACACACACACACACACACACACACACACAAAGCCCTGCTTTTTCCTACACTTTTTACCTGGGTAGTAATTGTCACTTTATTCACATGTTTTATGTGGGAGCTCCAGAAACGTCTTAGAAGCTTTTGTATTTTTAAAAATCAAAACACTAATAATGAACAAAGTTTGCAAATAACATCTACAAACCAGGGTCTGGTCATTTTTGTACTGTTTCAGTAGTGATGGTCTTCACCTTCCGGAGGTCCTGGCTATCAGTGTTAATGTTTTTGTGACAGTGGCATCCTGTGGCAAAACCCAGCATATAACCTTTGTATCCTGCAGAATCACACACTAATATGTGATCGAAATTTGACTGTAATGAATGTTATTGTTACTTTTTAAGGAGTTGAAAAATTTACAGTGCTGGAGGTTTTTTTTTTATGATTTAAAAATGTCTTGGAGTTTGAGGTTTTCTGTCCTGGTCTTCTGCGTGTCTGCCAGAGACCTGCAGCGGCTGGGGGAACTGCAGACAGAGCTCGCTGGAGCTGCTGATTTCTGTGCCACATACCTGCGCTGCCAGCTGCTGCTCATCAAGGTAGGAGCGTGTGTGTGTCTGTGTTTTTTCTATTATGCTTTGTTTGCTATGTGTTTTAATATGTGAAGGCTGATGTTACTTTCAAGACAAAAATGCTCCAAACAGCAAATGTGGAGGTGGGGGGTGGTGGTGGTGGGGGAGGGGGGTAACATTAGCCAAAGTTTAAGGAAACAGATGTGTGTTCTCAAAGTGGAGATCCTCATGTTTTTGACCTTTGTCTTGGTTCCTCAGGCTCTGCAGGAGAAGCTGTGGAACATGGCCGTCCCTCTCTGCCTCAAACAAAACGTCACGGCAACAGCAGCAGCTCAACAGGTCAGCACACCCAGATGTTGGTATTACCACAGCTGTGAGGTCATATAGGTCAAGTAGCATGACTGTGATTTCGTTGCAGATTTTAGAGGAAACCTACAAGCTGGAGTTTCTGTACTGTGGGTTGGAAAGCAGACAGGTGGCCACGATACATCATGTTCGCCTCCAGGCCAAAGCCCTGCAGCTCATCCTGACTGCTCGCACCAGGCAAGGGTCAGTACACACACACACACACACATATTCACCTCATACATTAAAGACTTCATGTGGACCACATCTGTAAACACACAGCATCACTATACTGTATACACATGTTTCTTTGTCAACTTTCTTCAGGTTGGATCCTCTCATCAGCAGCTGTGAGAAGTTTTTGCAGGACGTTGAGTCTTTTCAGAGGTAATATCTTTATGTGTGTGTGTGTGTGTGTGTGTGTGTGTGTGTGTGTGTGTGTGTGTGTGTGTGTGTGTTTGCATAGTGGAGTTTTTGTGGTAGAGTCCCCCTCCTCCTTACTGGGTCCACTCACTATTTTTTATTCCATGTTTTCTGCAACCTGCAGGCTGTTTCTGACAGAGCTGCCCCACCTCCAGGACAGTTTTGTGGATAAGCTTTTGGAGCTGATGCCGCGGCTGTCGTCCTGTAAACCAGTTGAGCTGGTGAAGATCCTCCAGACGACCCTCAGACAGAGTGGCCTGCTGCAGCTCAAACTGCCTGAACAGGTATAATGAATAAACAAGACTGAACTTCCAGTCTTTCACCCTCTCATGTAGTGTGTATTTTCAAGTGCACCATGGCACGAGTTAGAATTTTTGGACCATTAGAGTTTTTTAGCCAGTTAAGGAATTTCTACCCAACAGCAGTGATGTAGCGTTTGAGTTTTTTGTTGTTGATAACATTTGCTTGCTGGTCAACAGATCCATCGGGCGACAGCCACAATCATAGAGCCAACAGGGGAGTCCGACAATCCACTGAGGTTCACAACTGGCCTGGTGGTGGCGCTAGACATCGACGCAACACTAGAGCACGTCCAGGATCCGCAGAACAGTGTGAAAGTACAGGTCAGTTTGATGCACAGCTAAATAACCAACCTCAGTTGACATTTTGGGTTTTGGTCCGTGTCGGAATTACAGTCTTCATCTTTTGCAGGTGGTGGCGAGCTGTTCAATACAGTTCGTTTTTTACTATTACTTTAGAGTATGGCTAAAAAACTCAGGGATAAAAGTGTAATGTTAAAGAGTCAGTTTTTATTTGTAACACTAAAGACACAGCATACTCTATGTCTAACTATATAAGTAGTATTTAAAAAAAAATAAATAAACACACACAGCATACATCCTGCTGTGAGGTATGAAAGTAAGGTCACTTGCTTCCAACATAAAAACTCTTGAACTTGAATAAAAATAAGTTTAAGAAAAACAGTGTGCAGTGTAAAAGAAGATGTGCAGTGTGCCTCTCTAGTCTCTGCTGCAGGTTTTGTGACAGGAACACGAGCCTGTGAACCAGTGTCTAGTTTGTGGGACACCCTGTGGCATGTCACAGTGTTAGCCCTGGTGCTAAACACCCTTTCAGAAGGAGAGCTTGAGGCCAGGAAACTGGTATTTTTTTGCAAAATGCCTGAACTTTGGGAACGTTGCTTCATGATGCTAAGAGAGAGGCCTGAGTGTAGGAAAGTGGTGAAATTTGCCACAGTGGCATGTGTGCATGCAGAAGCATGAGAGAGAGAGAGAGATCGCACTATACGGCTTTCCTGTTCAAGTACATGTAGATCGTAACCTGCTGAGCAATTATTCTGCACATTGGTCATTTCATTTCTCTTCTATAAAATAGTATTGAATATATCAATACTTTTGGGTCATTAATGCTGAGTTTGTTGCAAAAAATGACTTTGAAGTTGTGCTACATTGGTTTAAAATGAAGCCAACTGAGCTTGACCGAGTCAGATCAGGTAACGTACAGTTAGGGTTCAAATTAAAACGCTGACGGGGCCATTTTGTTCAACAACAAAAAAAATCTATCATTACTGATCAATTCAAAAGTTCAGTTTGTAAAGATTAAAGTTCCTACACTTGAAATAAAACATACTAGTTTTCACTTGCTTATAATTTTATTGCTGAAATACCTTCAAAACAATGGAAGTTTGCTTTTGTTGGTTGATTGATAGTGACTGTCGTCTACTCATAAAAATGCAGATTTCACATTTAGCGGCAGCCACGTCAACTCTTTAAAATATAACCCTTAACTGTGGATATGAATACTGGCTGAATCACCTGCTGTCTGCTCACCATACACGCCTTCTGTCTGTAGGTTTTGTATCCAGACGGCCAGAGTCATGTGATCCATCCTAGACCTGGAGACTTCAGAAAACCTGGACCTAACAGACACAGACTCATCACACAGGTCTACCTCTCCCACACCGCATGGACAGGTGGGTTTCACACTCACATCTGAGATTCGTGTTGCATATTCTAATGTGTCACCTAGAGGTTCACCAAACTAATTCCATCTGTTCCTGCACTCTGTGTGTGCTCACATACCTGTTTCAAGTTCACACCAGCATTAGTAGCCATTGCTACTTCAACTGTCAAATCCTAATTTTCTGAATCGATTCATATTCAAATCGTTTCAAATGTGTCCTGATTGTTTTTGTATTGGATGTAGATACACTCCTCAGTGTGCTCAGTTTGACTGTTTCTCTCTGGTCTGTCTCTCAGAGCCGTCTCAGATCGAGGTGCGCCTCCTGCTGGCCTACAGCTCCTCCTCCACCTCCCTCTCTTCCTCAGCCTCCAAGCAGGGATGGAGCGACAGCATCGACAGCATCCCACCATCCGAGGCCGCTGTCGAGGGAACCATCCCATTCAGCAAGCCAGTCAAAGTCTACATCATGCCCAAACCTGCCAGGCGCTAACAAAACCCTGGACACGGGAAAGATGGACAAGGCTCTAACTCTTCTCAGCTTTCACATGTATGAGCTATGTTAAGGTCATTAATGTCAGCTGTGTCAGGTCACATTTCCCTTCACGATGACTGAAGTCGATTCAAAACTGTACAGAAAAGATGAAACCGTTTTGCTTTCTCTTCAAAAACACATTCATTTTTAAAATTAGGGCAAGTGAGTGGCATCCATTAAAATCATTTATAGCTAAGTAGTAAGAAGCATAAGAGAATGTCATTTGTACAGGGAATATTTTTGTACTCCGCACTTTGTTTCTTATGAAGACAAACGTGTGATGGCGATGACTCATTTTCTAATTTTATTTTCTGTAGCAAACAAGCAGAAATACATTTTCACCTCATGAGAAATGTACCATATGTTCATTCTTCATTACAAAAAAGTTCTTTAAAAAGGTCAAATGTATCTGTATTTCATTGTCAATTTGATCCTCAATCTTTGAAATTACATCAGTGACAGAAATGAACTTCTTCCTGTTTAGAGAACAGTTTAGAGAACAGTCAACAGATGTGATCTCTTCATCTAGAGTCAAATATACAAAGGCCATCTGAAGTGCTTTTCTCTAACTTCACTGATTTATAATCATACACAGAAGTTGCCAGCGCTCTTCTACAGTGCAGCTAACACAGCCTGGGCTGAAATAAGGGCTTTCCCGCTTCGCAAGATTAGCGACGTAATGAAGACGTTTCAGTCGTAACCATGCAGGAAAAAGCTGAGAGCTAGAAGAAGTAGCCAGCTACACATCTGGCAAAACAGAGACTGAGAGCCATGGTATGGTACAGGCTTCCCCTCATCTTCTGTAGGTCATCTTCGTTGGTGCAGCAAGACAAGGGACATCCTTAACAGGTGGAGTGGAAGACGCCACCCACCTTGGCACCCTGGCCAGCCAGTTTGTTATATTCAGCAACGGCCTTCTCCGTCTGCAAGACTCTGACGTCAACGCCTTTCTGCTTCACAAAGTCCACAGTGGAGGAGGGGACCTGAGAGAAGAGACGACAGCACAGACAGACTTATATCATGTCTACACAGGAGCAGTTGCAGTGGGCCTGGCCCCAGGCATGGACAATGGGGGCAGTGACTAACCCAACATTTCAAAAAATAGAGTATTTTATTTTGCTCTTGTCCATTTGACCAGTCATAAACTTGCCACATTCAAATAATCAAAGTTTATTTATATCCGATTGGTTGGTCTGGTCGTATAAAAACAGCTACTTCTCTATCACTTCACCATTAGTTTATGTTACATGCTGGTTATCAGCCTACTTCACTCACACTCACACTGACTTGACTCTGATTGGAACTGCCAGGTTTTAGTTTGAGTAAATCCATGACAGATTTATTTGGCTACTTGCAAATTGCGCTTTTTGTGATTATTTATTGTCAATCATTTGTAATCACCTTCTAGTTGTAGTGGTTTAAAATGAAATATGTTATTAGATCCTATGGCTTTAATTTTTGATAACATAAAACAGTTCATGTTATAGCTTACAGTCTTAAGGGACACTAAAAGAACCCAAGTAACAAGTCTTGAAGTCCGGCAGTGAGCGACCAATCAACGTCTCTTAATGCCCGCCCCAGTCAAAGCAGTCTATGGCTGGGTTGCAGCCATTGCTGTGATATGTCAACGCCACTACCATATTGGATTGGGCAAGACTGTCCTGTAAACAACTAGGAATAAACAGAGAAGCAGCAGTTTTTCTGGATAGAAATCACTACAATGTTTATATTTCTCAACTGATTTCAGCTAGTTTTTATATTTAACGTTTTAACTATTCCTTATTACAATTAATTATTTTCCACCACATACGTAAGTATTAAGCTCTTGTAAACCTAACGTTGATACACAGTCCTCCTTATAGAAAACAGTGATTACAGCCTAAACTGTCAGGATTGTAAGTGTATGGAGACAACACTTCTATTTTTACTTCATGTAGAATATAAAAACGACTCATTGAAATTATTTGAGAAATATAAACGTTATAGAGCTTTTTATCCAGATAAACTGCAGCTCCTCCATTCACTTGTGCTTGCCCAGTAAAATATGGCTGCAACATTGACGTACAATTCAGTGGCCAATGTCTATAGCTGCAGCCTCATTTTCGAGTCCTCAGGTGCATCTGACAGAACACATATGCTATTACTTTAATCAGTCTAGCTGTCTGCACAGGCTGTGTAACAGCTCATGTTTTACTCATGTTGCAAGAGAACTACACTCACACTACACCTGTCTACACAGGGTCAGTCTCCCTCCAGCCTACAACTACACCCTCATCCTGTGTACACTCAGTCTCCATTTTTCATGTCAAAGGTTATCCACATATTAAGGAACATCCCAAATGCAAATGGTAGAAGTGGACAAGAAACTGTTGCTGGACCCCGCTACCTACGAATGAAAGCACTGGTTACCTGGAGACAGTGAGAAACATTCCAGTTGAGCCCACATATAAAAACAAACAAAAAAAAACCCACTGCCATCTGAGTATAAATCTCATCTGTCTGTAACTATGTCAGGTTCACAGGCACAAACTGCTGCGTTGAAATCAAATGTGTAATATAAAATTAAAGTCTAACATTATATTGCAGTTTGATGATCGGTATTCATTTTTAGCTCTGAATAGATTGGACTGTCTGTGGGATTGTTCTACCTGCAGAGCTTCACTCATGCCTCTGCCGATTACCAGCAGGTCGATCCCCTTCTTCAGCACCTCCTCCACATCAGCAGGTTGTACTCCTGGGTAATGCTGTGGTGGGAAAAGCAAAAGAACACGTGAGCACTGTCATTAGAAAGAAAAGCACAGCGTGTCTTAGTAGATCCTGTTGTTTTTGAAGCATTGGTCTGTTCTGTTGCTGTCATCATGCATTACTGTAAACACATGTGTTTGTGTGGTACAGGTATTACTCATGTTGTGGGGACCTAGATTTGTTTACACACCTCACATTAAGGGGACTTGTCTTCCTTATGGGAACAAAAAGCAAATCCCCATGATGGAAATCATTACATTTTCAGGGGGAGACATGTTTTAAGGTTAGGGTTAGGCAAGTAGTAGTTATGGTTAATGTTAGAGTAAGTCTCCAGGATATGAATATCAGTCAGTATAATACGTTGTCCATTCTGGTTTCACTCACGTCAGTCCCAGTCTCTCTCCAGTCCCAGGCCCGGCTGCCTCCAGGCCAGACCTTACAGTCCTTGTAGCTGGAGGAGCATCCCTTCACCTTCATGTGGCCCCAGGAGAGAGAGGCGATCTCTGGAGAGGACATGGCTACATGCAGCTACCTGCTGAAAGACAAGGAAGGGACGCAATCTGGCTGGTTCACTGGACGTTACAATATGTGAGATGTGTCTGACAAAATGGTCAACAATTGACTGTATTTACGATACATAGCTGTTTATACAAAGCACTTTACAATTCACATTAGCACACTGATGTCAGTGAGTTACCGTGCAAGATGCACGGCCATCTGTCTTGGCCAACGACACTTTGATACATGGGGATCAAATTGCCAGCCCTCTGATTAGTAGAAGACATGCTTTTTGAAATTACCTCCATTTATGTATAAATTTTCCCTTAAATATGGTCAGATCTTCATCCAAGTTACAATTATGAACAAACACAATCTATATTAACCAATAACACACAAATCATTGTTTTGTTCTTATGCGAATTGAAAATATCTTTCCAACTATCACAGTGTAGGATGGAAAAAGTATGTGAACCCCTCGTATAATGGCATCAACAAAAGTTAACTGGGGCCAGGAGTTATCACAAACCTGGAGTACAGTCAATGAAACTAGACTGGAGGTGTGGGTTAGAGACTCTTGCCTTATAAAAACACTAAAATATTTAGAGATTGCTGTTCATAAGAAGAATCTGCTGATGTGAACCAGGCCTCACAAAAAGAGATCTCAGAGGACTTATGATCAAGAATTGTTGATTAGCATGAAGTTAAAGGGGTCGCAGAGTCATCTCAAAAAGTTTCATCAGTCCACAGTCAGTCCAACTGTCTATAAATGGAGGTGATTCAGTTCTGTGGCTACTCTCCATACAAGTGACGTCCAGCCGAGTTGACTCCAAACACACAACGCAGACGCTCAGTATCCCCCAAAGGTGAAGCAGGGTGTAGGAAGCATCATGATTTGGGGCTGATTTGCTGCCTCTGGACCTGGACAGCTCCACATCATTGAGGGGAAAATGATGGGAATTATCAGGGTCTCCTCCAGGATGATGTCAGGGTGTCTGTCCAATTGCTAAAGCTCCGGAGAAGCTGGGTGATGCTACAGGACAACGACCCTAAACATCAAAGTAAATCTACTACAGAATGACCTCAGTCACAGAAAATCCAGCTTCTGGAGCGGCCCAGTCAGAGCCCTCACCTTAATCCAGTAGAGATGCTGTGGACTGAGCTGAAGAGAAACTTGCAAATCAGACATCCCAAGAATATCTCTGAGCTGAAGCAGCTCTTTACAGAAGAACGGTCCAAACCTGATTCTGCTAAAACACAGTCAGACTCTGCTTCAAATATGGATTAAGCTACAAATTCTACATTTCCAACCCTGCAGCATGAAGATCTGTGATATCATCACAGTGTCAAGGTGTTAAGATTAGTGTCACCTAATCAGTATCAGACCAAATATGGTGACAGTCTCTCCTTCTGTTCCTGAGTTACAGTGTTGAATCATTAGGATGACACAGTGAAGTTGACCTTTTGGACAGACAACCTGGAAACATAATGCCTCCAGTCATGGCTGTAGCTGAGGCAAAGCCAAAAAAATTGTGCTTATAATGTTGAGTCAGCCAAAGTTTGACACAGTCGGCCAAAAACTCTTTATCAGCTGTTTGGCAGCTGTTTCGCAGGCTGAATCAATCAACAAGAAGGATTAACATTTCACTGTTCTACTCTTAAAATCGAGTCAAGAACAAACAATAAAAATCCACATATTTAATAGTTAATTCTATAACATCAGCTCAGTCATAACTTGACTAACTAGAATCACATGTTAATCGTACTACTAAATATCAAGTTCTTTCTGCCTGAGGCGGGAAAAGAAACACACATTTCCTGATCATCACAGCAAATCAGTTGAGATTAACATTTAACATTTGTCAGCTGCAAAAGCCAAAACCTTCCGCTGCCAATTCTGCTGTTATTCATAGTCAACACAGACTGACTGAGAGCTATTTCTGTACCAGCCACAGACAGACGCCACCAAACCAATATCGACTCTGTCAAAATCTTTTGTTGCATTAATGCAAAACTCTAAAGGTTGAAGACGGTTAGAGAATGAGCTGTCAGTAGTTTATTTAGTTATAAGAAATAACCATGCCTCTGCTGCTGCTTACCTCCGCTCGTTGTCAACAAACTGGCCACACCCCCTGGAATTCTTCTTCCTGCTGTAATTAAAGGGAAACACCATCCAGCTCCGCTCAGATGCTCTGACCCCGCCCCTTTCCGCGTGCTGTAATATCTTTTCAACTGTTCCGACTTACTGACTTAATAGTGGTGTTTGTTGATACTCAAAGCCACTAAAGGAGTGCTAGAGTGGGTATGAATGGTTTAAATCCGTTTCCTCCACACAGACGACTGTTTGTGTGTGCAACACTGTTTATTCTGATAAAACAGCAGACAACAACAGAGTACGCGGCTGTACGGCGTCACGGGCAAAGGATGTGCTCATCACCCCCACCTGTGCTGGTGATCTCACCTATGCGCTTTTCTGAACCCATACACCACCCAGCGTTCATAAAGAGAAAAAAATCAATACGCAGTCTTTATCAGGGGTCTCCAACCTATTTTACTGAGAGCTACTTTGACAAATTGAAAGGGGCCAAGAGCTCCTCGTGTCTTATATTACTGGTCACATTTATTTACATATATCAAACCAAATAATTTGAGTAACATCATTTAACAAGTCATCAAATATCAACATCCAAAACTCACATTTTGTACCAAAAACATCTGAAATGAAATTTTGTCCTGAACACACAGACATGAGAACACCACTGCAAATAAACCTCCATAAATCTGATAAAGGATCCAGAGAAAGAAGAAGCTCCTCAGTCAGTGATCGGTGATAGTTGTTAGTACATCAATGGTACATAACAAACAGGAACTTAAAATAGATCATTCACTACACTTAATTAAAAAAAATTAAACATGCACTAAAAAAAAAAAAACAGAGCTCAAGTTGAAGCCCATAGTTAAACTCACTGTATCCATGGCAACATATTTCCTGTTTGTTGTAAAAGTTTAGTTCCTTTCTGTTCTGTTATCAGAAAAGTTTCTATCACTGCATATCATATATATCATATAGAAGTTAAGACTGATGAGGGCATCTCATATACCCCAAGTGCCTCGACCCTGACCCAAATTATATGAATTTAGCCGCTTGACGGCTTAAAGCACATCAAGCGGGTAAATTCATATAATTTGGGAATTTTTTTTTACAATTTTACACATATTCCGATACTTATTTAACACATTAGATCAACACATTAGATCTTTCTGAAATCTCTAAGATGTTTTCTTACATCAGAAGAAATTATGTAGATATATCATTACCAGAGGAGACATGCCACATCTATTAGTGTTCTAATATGAAATGATTAGCTAATTTCTCCCATCAATAAAATGAATAAAATTAAATTCATTTGAAGCTTAAGTTGTAGCTTTTTGCATTTTCTGTATCTGTGTGAACTTGTGTATAACAAAGAGGAGATCGTACCACAGCAATTTAATGACAATAGGTTCAAATGTTCCACTTAGTGCAGCACATATATACAGGGCAGTGGAAGAGGCTCAAAATACAAGACCTCTGTAGTAAACATTGACAGTCAGCAGTGATTTAGTGAGATGTTTTTTTTTTATATCCCTGAGACTCCCAAGAAAACATGGCAAGTTTAATTCCAGTTTGAGTCAAGCAAACATCTGAAAATGTTTAGATAAACTGAGAAAATGATTAAACTTATAGCCCTGAAACTCGCCATTTCCTCATAGATTATTAACATTTTGAAGACATTAATCATCTGTTTAATGTTAAGCGATGAACCATTTTTTTGTTGAAAAAAGACATGTCATTAAATGAAAGCTTGCTGCATTCGTACCACTGTTGGCTGAAGCTTAACAACAATAAAATGTAAAACAACAATAGACAGATCTGCACATGAGAAAACTATCCAGTCCACATAAATGACACACATCCAGTTCTTAAGGGGGAATGCCAAACCATTTAGGAATTCATTAGTTTTAAAATATTGATAATCAAATTAATTATTCCAAAAGCTGAGAACACTCCACTAAAATAGAACAGAGAGCTCCGACATCTCTGACCACAGGTTCATGTTGTAGCTGCCTTCTCGTGTCACTTTCCAGACAATACAACAGATTTATGACCTGAATTCCTCATGGACTGGCATTCCCCTGAACAACCTTAACACTGTTCTGAAAAGGGATTGACAGTCTCATAAAAAGTACATTCTCCCACAATGACAGTGCAAATAAATACATCAACTCTTCTTTTGATGAAAACCACACGAGTTTGACAGGTTCACTGTGACTTGAATCAAAAGTTGAAATTGTCATATGGTGTCAGTTTTATAAACGAGGGGCTGGACAAACGAGAGTCACACTTTACTTTCAGTCAATGGTCTTCTCCTCCATGGAAGATGTACTGTTTGCAAACGTTTGACTTTCTGACTACATCCTCCCCTCCCCCACGTCCTACCCCCTACCCTAAATATGCTTCTGGTTTAGGCAGCACTGCAACAACATCTACTGCATACTCACTGTACTGCTTTTACTTTAAACAGTCACAGAAAATGTATCAGGCGTGAAGTAACAGGGAATATGAAAAGGAAATAAACTCATTCTATTTTAATTAAAAACATGGGTTGTGAGTCAAAAACAAGTCCTTTAAAAGCACCTCTGATATCTGTATGAACATGTAAATATTTATCACATCCTGACAGCAGAACAGGGTTCTGTAGTGTTTTAACTATTAAATCAGAAACAAACGTGGACTAGTCCTTAATAGTCTGATGATTCTGTGACATTTTACTCTAAGTCCCCTTATTTTGCATTTATAAGTAGGATATAAACATTTAATAAATGGCTTATATCACAACTCATGTATTTGTGAGCAGATATAGTAAATGTTTATGTATTTTTGAACAACTGTGAGTTCGTATGGACACCCATAAGAGGCCGGAGTATGAGTGACAAAATAGTAAAACTCAGCTGTAATAATATAAAACATGTTTCATGGAAGTAGTTAGAATTTCAGACAAATACTGTACATTAATAAACACTTTAAAATGTCCTTATATCTGGGTACAACTACAGTATAGTGATACAAATCATTTATTAAATGTTTATATTTGCAGTATATTGCATATGCTAAATGCTAAATGCTAAATATGGGAACTTATAGTTGAGTGTTTGCCTACAACTCTGGAAATCTGTACCAACATGAGTTTTACTCTCCTGACATCTTCCAGTATCTTGTCTTAGTGTCATCACTCAAAGATAGGCACTAAATCATTTGAGGGTGGATTTCATGTTGATGAATGTCTAGAAGATGAGATGGAGCTTTGATAACACCCACGCCGTTGCTGCATCCGCCCACGCCATTTTTATCCCTCCGCCAGGTCAGGAGGGTCATGAGTTGTGGATGCACCACGGGACAGTGGTGAAGTCACTTTCCCCCCCAAGAAACTTCTTTGTCCAGGTGTCCATCGCCGTGCCAGCAGTCAATCACATTGCTCGCTGCCGGAGCGCCCCTCCTTCGCTGGTTTTGCTGCCTGTTTCATCGCCGTTTCCTGTCAGCAAGGGAGTGAGCTCTGAAAAGAAAGACATGATTTAGCATGATACTGAATAAAGGCATCACTGACACAGCTTTTTGTCATCTGTAATGTAGCTGAACTTCTGTGCTTTCTGTCTATGGCCGATACAGAAATCTTAATTCACACCTTTGTTTCATGGAGACTTCAAAAGACCCCTTCCTCTGGAACAACCTCCCTGCTGACAACAGACTGTCTTTACTCTGTTGAAGCTTTTAAATCCAAACTTCAAACTCATGTTTAAGCCTTTAACTTTAGCTTATTCTTTTATTAGTTCAAGTTTTCCACCTGTTACCATTCTACCAGATTATTGTAAACTTTCTGAAAACCACTGCATCACTCTTACTCTGTCTGTTTGTTCCCTCAAGCACATGAGCACCCAGGCTGTGTGCCTCTCTCTCTCCTCTTTCTCTCTGTCTCTCTCCTCCTGTTGCTATCTGCAGGTATTCCTGCCTCTGACTGCAAACCAGCTCTCTATCTCTCTCTGACTGGCGACCTGACCAGGATGTAGTACCCTGACTTTCAAGTAGGGTGCTCCTGCAGAACCAGCGGCTGCAGTTTCAGGAACACATTTGTAGGACCGTAGTATTTCATGACACTGCCACCTGAGGAAGAGGACAGCAGGAGTGCATTTCAGTAAGGAGATGGACTACAATTGAAGTGTGAGTATAACAGCTCTTATAAATATATTAAGAGTTGTGAACTAATTACTATTATTTTTAGCCATCTACCATATTTAAATAATACAATTATATATATTATTAATAGTACGCACCGTAGAACTGAAACTACAGCCTTCAGTAGGTTATCGCTGAAATGTAATATTGCCTTGAATGTGTCCCCAGAGTCGTCCTCGTGCCTTGCCTCTCTCCAACCTTTCAAATATCTGGTCAAGATCTAGTGGCTGCCAAGGCCATAGCATATGATTCCATATTTATTTCATCTGAGAATTACCTGATTATGCTAATTACACAAACTGCATAACAAGCAACTGTTAGCAACCACAAGAGAGAAGTTGGTATTTGGATGAAATAAACCTTTAAAACTACATAGAAATACAGTCCTGAAACTGCGGCCCTGAAATCAGTCTCCAGTACTGCAGGAGCATACTAATGCAACTCTCACAAAATGTCAGCTGTGATTGGCTCCGGCCCACCCTGGATAAAAAAACAAAAAACAAAACAATGGGCATACTAGATAATGCCCATTGTTTTCAAAAACCAAACTGATCTCTGATCCCCGCTGGAACACTAACCTCAAAGTGAAACACTGAAGGTGAAACAGAATTTTATTATTATGACACAGTGTCAAACATTCCCGATTGTTTTCTTGGAAACAGCATGCATGCTGAGGAAACAGGTTTTGTTGTAAAGGTATAATAACTGTCACCACTGTCTCTTTGTTGGTCCACACCCTTTCCTCCACCTCAACTCTGTTTCCCGTCAGTTCTCATCCTTACCTCAACATTCCCTTGAAATAACACGCTCACATTTTACTGAGGCACCAGATCAGTGCCCGTCTCCATCCAAAGTCCAACTCCTACTACTGTCTGAAGATGGCACAGTTTAAAATGTAATAAATTAAAGATGGTTATAACTTCTTTAACAGAATTTAGACCATCACTGAGAAGACTTACAGCTGGAATGGATTGATAATAATTAATATAACAATAAATGTAGTAGAATTAGTTTACTCTGATATTATGCACAACATCATGTTAGATATAAATTTGAATTAAATGATAATATAAAGTAAACCAAGCGTTGTGTCCTGCCCCATTCTATGAGAAACTATATATTTATAGATTGTGTATAAGGTTAACAAAATATAACACCATCAAGACAGAACCAGTCTAAACAACAGTAATGGATTTCTCAATTCAAAATGTAATTTTCAACTCTTAATAGAAAAGTAGAAATGTAATTTAACAGACCATGGTCTTGTCCTGCCTCTCTTCGCTCACCTTTCATCTCGGTTTCCATCGTGCCGTTGTCGCATGCTGCTGAGTTTGGACGGTTGCAGCTGTTCTGAGCTGCTCCAGCGTTGGCCGCTGTGGGGTCGCTTGCAGAGTCAGCCGCGTTCGTTTTTACTTGATCCCGTTTCCCTGCAGCGCCGGGACGTTTATTCCCATCCACATTGTCCATCTTCACCGGACAGAGAGTCTGCAGCAGACCCAGGGCATCAAAGTTTTCTCCAGAGCATTCACCTCGTCTCCTCAACAACTCCAACACCTGCAGTCAGAAAACACACAACAACAACATGTAGTCAAAGAAAAAAATGTATACTTCTGATTTAGCTGCTAAAATTGATAACTGTATACAACACTACCAATGTGTTTTAATCCCCTTTTTTGGTTTGTCTTATTTCCACACTGAGATCCAGTATCTTGATCAAAACGGACATAAAAGCAGGATCCTGGGGAAATATTCTCTCCATGATTGAAAACAAGGAGAATTACAAATTATTAATTACTTGTTAATTGCTAATCAGAGATCAGCTGTGTCTGAAATCGCTTCCTCATCCACTTCTACAGTAGTTCAGTCTATAGATTTTGGACACTTGAATGAAATGAAATCATCTTGTTGTTTCATCACTGACAGCTTCAGAGACACACAACTGTTCATTTGTGTCAATAAAAGTTAACACTTGTGGGGTTGTTGGCAGCGGTAACGGTACTTTTTTGTTCCAATGAGGGAATTTTTTTTTTTTACAGCACTCTATATCACACTCAGAGTTTGGACACTCAAATAAAATGGCGAACAGTAAATATAGTGCACTACATGATAAATTGGGAGCGATTTCAGACACAGGGGACGAACACTGGCGCACCAACTCACAATGCTCAATGCTAACACACCTTGATGTATTTGTAGGACTTCAGTTCGCTGATGTTCTCCTCCAGGAAGAGTAGATAGAGAGAGAGATCATCCCACTGGCCCCCGGGGGTGGGCAGGACGCTCACTGTGGGCAGTGATTGGTAGGTTTCCAGGAATCGGGCGTATCCATGGCAGAGGAGGGGACGGAGGCTGGCATAGATCACCACTGGAATCAGTGCAATGAACAGGACCAGGTTGACAAGGCTGGAAAGAGTAACACAAACAGACTGGAGTTTGATATGCAGAGAGGAGGCAATTCATAAATATTATATAATGGCTGTTATAGTACAGCATGACTGACATGATGGTAAGAAATCAATATGAATACAGTGGATATTGAATATTGAAGATTTAAAGTGAAAAGCAAACAAGGTTTGATTGGATAACGGCACCAAGCCAAGCCAAGCACCTTATGAAATCACATGGTTTCTGCTGTGTTCACCAAATGAATTAAATGCATGATTTTCTAAAACCTTTTTAACACCACACATTATGTAATTTAATACCTTTTTCACAATCGTAACAATCAAAGAAAGATGGCAAACCAGTAGGGACAGTAAGGACTACAATCATCAAGTGTCAGTACATGTCAGCTGTATATAACTCTACTTCCTAGTGATCTAAGATAAGACTGGATTGATTAACCAATTAGAAAGTAATAAATTGAAGTTGCCCTTTATGAGTGAATGAGCCTCTGAGCTACAGTAGCAGAAGTAGTGATTTCGTTTGTTTAAAGGAAGTGAAACTTCACACTAAGAGGATTGAACAGCCTTGTGTGACCACAGAGCACTGTTCACCAGACACACTTGTAGTTTATAGATGTGACGTCTCATAACGGCTCCCAGAGATGTTAGTAACTAATGTTATCAACTAATGTTGCCATCTCCAGCAGCCAAGAAAAAATATAATGGAGACCTTTGTAAATGAATACCTTTTTATACCTTGTAAGCCTTTTCTGAGGCGCTGAGTTCAGCGCTGCTGAAGATGTTTTTGCAGATACCCTGCACTGATGACATCCAGTACATCACCACATCACAAAAATCAACACTTTCAGACACAGTCTGAACAAAAACTGATCTTCACAGAGGCAGTTCTCATTGCAGACTTCATGTTTTGAGAGTTCCTTATACTATACAGATGTTTATATTATTGTGTCCAGCTTCTGTAGCTGATGACGGACATAAATTAGCTGTCGAAGGAATCAACCAGAGACTTTCAGGCCCTCCCGACCCTCTATCTGATGGATTTCAGTTGAACCTCAGTCTATTTCTACACTAATTCAAGCGTTATACTTGCATAGACAAATACCTGAGCAAAGAGAAGACTCCCACGGCGATGAGCTTACACTGCACCTTGTCGGGGATGCCAGGGTCGGAGGCGAGCAGGCCGACACGGAGCCCGCAGCCAAACTCATCTGTGACGGAGGCCAGGCGGAGGTAGTAACCCAGGTAGATGCAGGCACACAGCAGGGTGATGAGAGTCAGGCCGCGACATGACAGGTAGTAAAACAGCATCACCCGGGAGCAACGCTTGGTCATCAGAAACTTCTCCACCAGCGGGTAATTGAAACAGCCCTCGGTGGGGTCGCTGGTGAAAGGGTGAAGTGAATACAGGAGCAGAGAGAGAAAGATCACATGGTGTTAAACAGGAAAATCCCCGTCTCTCTGTTAAAATATTCTACATGTAACAACATTAAAAATAAAATAAAATATCCCATCCTCTTTAAATAGTCCAGTCAAAAAGACAAATCTAAGCACACCTGATTTCAGATGTCCTTCTGTACCTGTCTGGTGCGAGCAGTCCTGAGGTGGCCATGCGTTTGGCCAGGGTGACGGCACGATTGTAACACCTGTCCAACTCCTCCATGATGAAGCCGAGGTCCGACTGCAGGAGGGGCGCGGCGGAAAATCTCCAGAACAACGCGGGGGTGTACATCAGCACGGCCACCAACAGCAGTATGTAGGGGAAGAACTGACAAGCAAAGAGATCAACAAAAATGTTCATTAACGAGTCTTATTATTAGTAATAACATTACTGCTCATACAAAGGTTGATGTAAGAGATGCAAATACAGTCAAAACAGTTCAAGTGTCCACCAAAGGAAAGAACAGCAGTCACCATTCTTTAACTGACAGACCCGTGAGGTTGTTTGTTTCCTTCTGATGTTTTTCCATGGAGGAGATTTTTTATTTGAATTTACAAATAAGCCTAATATTAAATACCAGGCTGATGCACTATGATCCTGAAAGACAACTGGTCACTTTCATTTGCATGAAGGTATCAAGATTCATTTTATCTGTGCTTGTTATTTAGGGGGTTTTCTTTGGCTATCTGGTCATATTAGTCCTACGCCTGGAAGTTCTGTTAACGGTTGCTGCACGAGCGCATTAGAGCTGCTGCAGGGCTACAGCAGGGTAATCGCATTTATATAAAGCAATGTTGTCCTTGTGTGTGTCTTTCTGACAAAGAAAAGGGGGAAGGTTTGTTGCATTTTCAAACCAGTTGAGCGTTTGCTTCAGTGCATATAGCTAACAGTATCAAGACTGCATGTCCCATCGTAGCTGAAAAGTTAAAGCCAGACTGTAAATGGAATATTACATCGAGGTGTGTCCCTGGGTTTAACAGAAGCTCAGGCAGCAGCATCAACACTCCGGTGCAGAGGTCAGTAAGAGGTGGACCGCAGCCCGGATCTGGACCCAGACACCATCCTATCCACACCCAGATAGTTTACATCCAGTCTATAAATTATGGAGAATTATTAAATTATTTTTACTTATTTAACCGGCGCAGCTTTGCTAAATGATGCTACTGACTCGAGTCGCAGTCAGTGAGTGAGATACACGCACAAAACTTACACGAGAGCTATTACTTGGACAACTAAGTGGGAGAGTGGGACATAAGAGGTGTTGAGATTGTTTATTGTGAGACTGGCTGAGAGCGTTGAGATGTGAAATGGAGTTGACAAAAAAAAGCTACAACATTCACCTTTTTCACCTCTCTCTGCTGTGGACTTATTAAAACCCAAAGTTCAAGTTATAATCTGTAACTTTTCCACATTAAAATGTCTACAAATGACAAGACCTATGTTTCCATCAATTCTAAAACCAGAGAAATCTGTGATTGTAATCATGGTAACAGTACGTGTCATTTGGTCGCCTGTCAATGACATCATATCCTCTATGATCACGTGTCAGTGTGTTTGTCTGACAGAAGCTCAACACTGACTTTTATCTAGTTTTAAGCCACATACACTTTTTCCACCTTGGTGGTTTTCAGCTCTATATTTGAACCAGATGAAGGATTTTAGTCGTCGGACGTCTGGATCTGAAGTTATCAGAGAAACAAGCTGAGGAAATGTTAGACAGCTGAGCTCCAGCTGCTGGAGACGTCCTGTCCTGTGTCACTGAAGAGCGTCAGTGAATCAATGATTGTTAAAGTGAAACTGCTTTCTGGGTGTTTCTACTGGTTTGAATCCCCTGGTGTGTGTGTTATGAAGAGGAGGACACCTCTGTGGATAATTCAGCTGCTGGTAAAAACATCTGCTTCATAAGTTATCAGAGGAACAATCAGAACAAAGGTTAGCATCAGTCTCAGCTCCAACTCTTCCCTGAGTCTCTGTCCTCCGTACAGCGTCGCTCAAACACTGACTTTAAATGTCAAACTGCTTCATTCAGTGTTTCTAACAGTTAGAATCACCAGGTCTGTTTGATTTCCTGAACCACTGACACTGAAGGAATCCAAACCGGGAGGAGCTTATGGTAATCGTGGTGAAGACAACAACTCCCATGATCCCACGCTATTTTATGACGACACCCAACGCAGTCTTGTTATTGTTTTGATTAGAGACCCCTAGAGGCAGAAGTTACAGACTATGAGTTTAAGTTAAAATGAGAAAGGAACATAAAGATATTATATAAGTTATAAGTCTTTATTTGGAATAACCCCCCCTAACTGCACCTCTGTGGATTTTAACTGAATGCCCCTGCTCCAGTGGATGTTGCACAGAAATGGGAATTACTGCTGACTTTAATAACACAATAAAAACACTGGGGCCAATCATAAAGACAGGAACTCATTACACAGTGTCAGATGTGGGAGTACCCATTCTTATCAAGGACCCAAACTTGAACTTCAGTCATACAGTGGTGCAGCAAACCACCAGAACATGTCTGATTGAGTTGTTGAGATTAATCGTTGAACATAAAGTTTCTGTAACTGCAGGGAACCATCAAATTTCTTAACAACAACTTCTAACAGTGACACACGCTGTAATTGAATGTTTCACTACAGAACATTTTATGTAGCGTTAGCTGCTCCATCTTTGAAATTCTAGCCATTGCTGCTTATGTCACTATAGAAAGATCAATTTAGGAACATATAGAGACACACGCCCATGACTGCACTCTCTGCTCCGCCTCAGCCTTCACTGTCTTACTGAAAGTATTCTCAAACACACCCTAAAATTAAGAAACAAAGGCTGCCTTTGCATAATTGAAACGCACCACACCAGAAAACCAATTTTACACAATGACAGACTCTGTAACAACATCTCTGAATAGGAAACTTTTAACCAGGTTTAATAATTGAATCCTGTTAAACTGTAGATTTTTTTTTTTTTTTTTTAACTTTAAGGAAAATGACCGTCAGACTTATTAATTCCACGCAGCATGGCACACTAGAAGGACAATTCTAATATTCTAATCGTGTGTGTGTGTGTGTGTGTATGTGTGTGTGTATGTGTGTGTGTACCTTGTGAAGCCACAGAGGTAGAGTGTGTGTATGTACGGCGGCCCAGCAGTACGAGTCCACATAAGCAGCCTGCCTCCAGGAGAAGTTAGTCGGAGCAAAACAGCTGATCTGAGTCCCTGAAAGAAACAGAGACAAAAAACACAAGACACGTGAAGATGAGAGGAAATGATAACAAGAGTGAAAAGTTGTAAAAGGGACACAGTTGATTTGTATTGGTTGAACATTTTAATCTGCAGATCTGTCTCATTAATGCTGCTCTTACACCCGTAACGGCAGGATTATAAGAAGTTTAAAGCTTCTGTAATGATGGATTTAGCTTTTTTCTGTAGGATATCGTAGGTTGCAGATCTCTCTTTAATTCTCCATCCTCTTCATTGTCAGTTGGTGTGATCTATGGTTTAATCTCGAGCATGTGCAGGTATCCTGACTCACATGATGAGGCTTCAATTAGCCTTGGCTTAAACCTGTATCTACAGTTTATCTTAAGTGAAATTTTTCACAGTAAGTCCAGCTTTTCTTCACCGCATTCCTGGAATAACGACCTAGTCTTGACCTGAACCAGAGCAGATCTGGTCTTTGTGGTCTTGACTCCAGCCCTGCTGCTCCGTGTTCTCACTCACCAACTGAAACCTCTTGAGCAAAGGCGAGGGAGATGAGGAGGAGGGGCAGACCCACTGCCACACAGGTCACCATCTTGTCCACAGCCAGCTCAGTCCGTACGCTGCGGTATCTAGCCTGGTTCGGCTCCTTCAGAAGAAAATCGCTGAACACGTACTCTGTAGCCACATGTGCGATGGCCATCTCACCACTCTGCTGTTACCTGCAGCACATAAATAACAACACCTGCAGACACAAAATTCAAGAAACACGTCTGTTTTCATTCATTCTCTTTGTATAACACTGACTGTCTCTCCACAATGTCTGAAGCTCCTGTCGCCTTTTTGCCAGGCAAATTTCATTTGTAGGATGCTACGACAGGTGTCAGGTGAACAGTGTGGGATAACTTGTCAAAGACAATCACAGACAAAGTTGACCTGTCTGGTCGTTACTTTCCCAGCTTGCTTACTGTACTTCCTAATGTTCAACCTTAATGAATGAGCCATTAAACAAAAATGAGCCTTAAAATAAAAGTGACACATCTATAACTAACTACATTTTGATCTTTGTGTTATAAATTCCATAAAGGGCAATAATGAGCAAACTTGTCATTATTTGTTCACCAGTAATAACATTTCCTTATTTACCATTTCTCTTCTGTATCATCATTCTATTACATTCTGTCACATTTATATCGTTAAAACAAGGTTCTGTCTGACCTTTGACCTTGACAATGTTGCTACCAGTAGCTCACCCCCTGTTTTGGAGCAGCTCACCCAAAGGTTCAGAGAATATAGTCTGAACAAACAATGGATGCACAGTTCAAACTTTGAGCAACACAACTTCACTCGGTAAATCTATATTGGATGTTTACATCAGATCAGCTGTAGGTGATATGCAGTGATAGAAACTCTTCTGATAACAGAACAGATATAAATTAAACTTTTCAAACAAACATGAAATATGTTGCCATGGACACAGTGAGTTAAGCTGTGGTTTCAACTTGAGAAGATTTTTTTCTTAGTCTATGGTTCTTTACATTTTGGAAAATGAAGTAATGATCTATTTTAAGTTCCTGTTTGTGATGTAGCTATCACTGATCACTGATCGACGAGCTTCTTGTTTCTCTGGTTTCTAATCAGAATCGTGGAAGTTAATTTGCAGAGGTGTTATCATGTCTGTGTGTTCAGGTCTGACTGAATCATGACTCAGATTTTTTCTACAAAATGTGAGTTTTGGATGTTGATATTTGATGACTTGTTAAATGATCGTATTCATCTGATTGGGCTTGAAGACCAGTTTGAGTGTTTTGATACGATATGTGAATAAATGTGACCGGTAATATAAGACATGAGGAGCTCTCAGCCCCTTTGATTTTGTCAAAGTGTCTCTCAGAGTAAAAAAGGTTTTAGACTGCAGTTTTATATAATCTCATTTGATTCATAGCTTCTTACTTTCTAAAAACTGAAGCTGCAAAGGCCAACAGAGCTTGAATCTTGCCTTATGTAACGTGACTTCCAAACGCAAATCACTGTCACTTTTAAGCTGATTTAAATGAATGTGAACCATGAATAATTTTCTTATGACAGACTGATGATTGCTGTTTGCATTCACTAACTGTGAAGCATCTTTTACCCGCCATTTTAACTAAACACCTGCTAAGAAACTGCTTGTCGAAATGTCTAGAGGTTAAAATGGTGAAACATGTGTGTTGAATTACTATAAAACCGAAAACAACTCGTGGCACGAGTGTTGATGTTGATGTTGTGGGAAGTCACAGTCACGACTCGTGACTGTGACTTCCCACAACATCAACACGCTCCTTTGTTTAGCTGGAGCTGGATTCCTGCAGTGTGCAGCAGCATTTTTAGTCTTTGCTGTTATTTTTTATATTTTTCTGTACATAATTCCCTTGATTTGGGAGCTAGGTTAACTGTGAGTGCACTGATACGGTAGCTATGTGGTAAGACTGGTCAGAAAATGGATGTCTGAGGGGAAGAAGCAGTTTAAATAGACTTTACCACCACCTGACTTCACATAAAAGCTCTCAATTAACTAAACACAAAAGAAACTGCAGCTAATTAGTTTATAATGACATTAGCTCATTACAATTCATCGCAAAACGAGATAATGAACTTGAACTTACCTACCGACCCGCTGCCGTTAAATGTAATTTCTCTATTAAACCGACATGGTTTCGATTTAGCAGCATCGGCTGCTGCAGTGGTGAAGTTGGAGGTTGTTTTCCAGAACAGGAGCTGTGAGATGTGGCAGACGAGACATTCAACAGATGGAACAATCAACACAACTTTCGAAATGAACCTTCTTCCTGTGATAAAAAAAAAAAAACACTCCTTCCGCCCTTGTTAAAAAGCAGATGCCTTCAAGTGCAGCTCTGATTTTTCAGCTCTAATGATGCCTTCAAATGCAGATCGTGAGTTTGTGCTTCGGTAAGTCGATTAAAAGTCAAGTGCCATTAGGTAGATTACTAGCATGATGTTGAAATACAGAAAATCACAAAATCTGGAAATCAGTGATCAACATTAGTAAGACTGTGTCGCACACTCAACATCCAGTGTCTGAAATACAATCTGACGAGATCAGATTTAAGGCAGCACACTATGGAGTTCATATTCCCTAAATATAAAAACGCAAGGAAATATGAAACAAGAATGTAAAACAATCCTGCAATAATTGAAATTAAACTAGTATTGTTACAAATATGGCAGAAGCACAGTGGCCTTGAGCGCTCAGTGCACTGCAACTTAAGAAAGCACATGCAAACAGACAAAACACAAACAACTTTAGAAAACATCTTCATCAATTTGAGAACACATGTGCTGCAAATACTCACAACACAATGCAAGTGTTTACCTGGGGACACTAAAAAGTGATGAACCTGGCTGGGGTGCACTTGTTGTTTAATGTCCAATTGTGACTGTTGAAGTTAAAACACATCCATTGTGTTGTGAGTATCTGCAGCGTATGTGTGTCAAATATATTTGACATTTTTATGTTACCTATTACCGTTTTTTTGCCTTGGGTTTTTCTTCATTTAAGGTATGTTACTGTATGAATACTATATGCTCTGTCACTTCCCAGTGCTTACTAACATTTCATAATAACTGCAAAGTAGAAGCTCAGAGAGAAAAACTGAGAAATGCTATGGGCTGTACAGTAAAATACCCAAAGATATTGTGCTTTCAATCATAGAAAAAAGGGGAAACAGTTAAATATTCACATTTTAGAAGCTGGCACTGGTGAATTTGATATTTTTGCTTAAAAAATGACTAAAACGACTAATTAATCATCAAGGTTATTACCAATTCATTTTCTGTCAATCATCTATTTGACTGATCAACTAATAATCCTTCGTGGTTACTTTGGAAATTATTATTTAACAGAGTATATATTAGCGTTTAAAGAGGGGTATAGGAAAGATCAGCCAATCACACCCAGCTGTGGTGCTTAGTGTGTGTTCCCAAACAGCATCTGAATGTCTGTTTTTCTACAGTCTATGGTTGAGACTTTGTATCCCCATAGCAAATATGTCAGTTACACACGGTTTCAGGCAGCAGTTCCTTGAAGTTAACCTATGGGCAAGTCAGCACAAGTGGATCTGCTCTGGATAAGGGCTTTTTGAAAACTCCTGTGATTGGCTGGTTGGGTTTAGACCAACAGTTTCAGCTATGACAAGACAATGATTTGATTGAATTGTCAACTGAGGACTATAGCTTAAATGATTCATTACTACTTTAATTTAAATGATTGTGTTAGAATTTTATAGCAAGACTTCAGTCAGCATCAGTGTCTGCTCCATGTAAACTCCATAAGTAGATATAAATTCTGTTTTTAAATGTGAAAATCATCACAAAACAAATAGATAAATAAACACATGAGAAATCGTCGGTGGTATGTAATTCCAGTTAAGTCCAACTAAGGTGAAGCTTAAACTGCTTGAGAAATATCTCTGGATTGGAATATCTCTGATGCAGAGATATTTCCTTCAGCCCGTAAAGGCAGCATCCTCCTGGGCAACGTGACTATCTACGCAGCATGCAGCAGCAGCAGCAGTACTAATTGTATGTGTAAAAAACAAGCTGTACTTTCGACTAAACTGTAAAACAAATGATGAGAAATAAAATGGTGGAGTCGGTCTGGGTTCATCGTTCAGACCTACATTACAGTGTCTCCTTTTGGAGGAAGACTGATGCCACTTGATTTAACTCTAGAAACATTTGAGGAATAAGAAAGAAAACCATTTTGGACTGTTGTTGATGTTGATCTTTCGCGATGAATTCTGGGCATTTCTCGCTCTGCCCTCCCTGGTCCTCCCAACTTCTTACAGCTCCGTCAAGCACATATAAAATGCGCACAATCTTACCGGAAACGGAGTTATTTATTTCAAAACAAAGGCAAAAAAATTATGTCTTAGGGCAAAAAAAGGGAAAAAATATAAACATCACACTCATTAATTAGAAAGCTTTTATAAATGTTTGATATGTTGTTTTATTTTCCCACGATACGGAAAATTCATATTTTGGTGTAATTTACTTCTGTTTTATGATGTGTTTGTTTTTCTTTTATTTTTAATTGCTGATTTTAATTCCCCTTTTCTTTCTGTAAAACAGTTTGTTACTTTGTTAAGAAAAGTGTTATATATAATTATTATTGCTTGACGGACTAAAAAGGTGTTGAGGTATGACACAGAAGCAAAAGTTGTCATCTACAGTACTGTATAAATGTGTAAGTCTAATGGGTCCCAGATTCATTCTGCAGCATGAGGCAATGAGTCCAAACATTCAGCCAGAGTCATAAAGAACTGTCTTCAGACAAAGAAGAATAAGGAGTCCTGCAAATGATGTTGGGGCCATCACAGAGCCCTGATCTGAACCAGCTCGCACGGCCCATTTGGTTTTATTGTGAAAACCTTACCCGGAAGCTACACGCTCTCGTACTGTCAAACTTGACACCGGTAAACGCTTCACTCCCTCCATTCATTTCACTGGCACACAGTCGCATCCTAGCAGCGAACCCTCCCCTCCTGTTTCTCTCCGCCTGGAAAGATGGCTGCTCCGGTGGTGGTGAGACGCTCCGGCCCGGCGCTCTGCCCGAGCTTCGCGGAGGTCTGTTCGTTCTTGGACCGATATGGAGCGGCGCTGGATCTACCCGAGATGACTTTCCCGCAGATGGAGAGGTATCTGCGGGACACGACGACAGGTGAGGGATCGATAGAAGTGGTGGTGGTGGTGGTACTGGGGCGAAGAAGTGGTGGAAAGCTGCGACACTTGAAACCGAAAGAGAAGGGGCCACCACTACCACCATCACCATCATCATCGTGATGATGATGAGGATGACGAAAAATGTTGTGTGTGTGTGTAGCGTATGTGTGTGTGTATGTGTGTGAGTGTGGCCCGGCAGAGCAGCATCAGATTTGGAGTTTAGTCAGCGAGCTTCTACACTTTCATATCGGCTGTGGCACATTTTGGCCCGTGTCAGAGTCGTTTTTCCTCGAAAGACATCCGGTGTTTTGTCCAAGTTTGTACGGAAACATTTGGGCAGAGAGAAAACGTAGCTGCTAATACAGAGCTAGCCCCCCCTCCAAACCCCACTCACTTTGGACTGTGTTGTGCGTTTGTGCTGAAGTTAGGAGAAAGGGATACATACGGGGGTACAGAATTTGGCACGGTACCCCGGGGGGTTATAGTTAGAGTCAAGTGACAGGTCGTCGATAATGTTGTCAAGGCTGATATTGATCTGTTAACGCTAAACTTGATGTGGGAGCCATGATGCAGCACTGCCGAGTGACCACACACAGCCAACCAGCTAGCTCCGGAGTGTTGTCAGGTGTAAATTTTCACCGGCCTTGCCTCACAGGCAGTCAGGCTGGAATGACATCAGTGTCCCCGGTGTTTATGTGTTGATCATGTACTCACGGCAACGATATTCCCCAACTTTGATCTGTATTTTAGACGGAGCGATAGATGTTAGCTAAAAAACAGTGGATGTTATTTTTTGGCCATTGGTAGAGTGGCTGTCAAATCTGCACAGGCGCAGTAGGGACTCTGGCTGCTGGCTAACTAGTTAGCATCAAGGTTTCCGTGAACTTTTAGTCAAAGTAGAAGGCGGAGACGTACAGTTTATTTACCACTTTGTCGTTTATCAGATGTTTTCAGACTAGTAGCTGTCGTGTTAATGACTTTGCATACCGCGTCAGACAATCTTACTTGTTAGCTAGGTAGTTTTCTATCACCGTTAGTTCTGTTGCTCACCGTAAATTCAATAATTAGACATAACAGCTCACATTTATGTTAACTATGGTATTTCTCTCACATTTCAGAATCGGCCACGATATAACTATGTTTTCGTAGTTGAGCTTCTGAGTCTGTGTTGACAATGTGAAAACGTAGAAAATTTCAGTTTGCCATGCCAGCAAAGAAAACTGGAATTTCCTCCTAACACTGGGGCTCCGTAAAAGTCTCACACTTTAGAGTCCTTATTTAATGTCAAATGTCAATGGGATACTTCTGTCATTTTGAAGACAGAACCTACAGTCATAACAGTATCATGACAACTGTAATCAGAAGCCTGATTAGTGCTGTATCGTAATTTCATCATTGATTACTCTGCCAATTATTTTCTGATGAATTGGTTCATCATTTAATCTAGAAAATGTAAAAAAAATAATAAATTGTGAAAAATGTCTCTCACAATTCCCAAAATGACATTTTTAAAGTACTTGTTTTGACCAACCAACCGTCCACAACCTAACTGATGAATGTCAAGTAGTAATGTCAAGAGTTGTATGAAAATTCATAGAATTAATAAATAAAATAAAATAATAAAAATCTTATTTTTTTATTTGGCCAACAGTAAAGCTGTATTTTTATGCTGAAATTATTTATCCTGTACAGCTGTTTACATTTACACAATTATCTACACTGTGCATGGAAGATAAGAGGAACCTTCTGATATGATGGGCTAACATTTGAATGGAAAAAGTTAGCTGTAAGATCCCACACCAATTCTGGGAACCATTGACATTATCTATTTACTCAGCACTGAGTGAGTAAGATATTCATATTAGCACATCAAATCACACAAGTACACTGAGCACTGCATAAAAACACACTGTCTTGCGTTTCTTTTTAGCCTTTATCTTGATGCATTTAAAGTTTGCCACTACGCTCATTGATGAGCCCCCAAAAATTACAGTACTAAATGTCATACAAAATGATTTGATCTCTCACATTGTTATAGGCCATACCCAGTATGAGTCTGTATGAACACATTTTACATTCCCATGTGATATCGTAAATGTCATGTTCATTCAGCAATAGTGGGCTGTTGTCCAACATTACAGTGTAGTGCAGGACCAGCCTTAAGAAAGTTTGAAAGGTGTTGCTGTCAAGTTGTTTATCTGTTTGTACAAACCTATTTTTCACTGTAAATTAATCAACACCTCTGTTTTGGTTCATAGATTCATGAAATCACATTGTTGTGTCTTAACTGATCTCAGTTGAAATTCGCAGTGAAACCCTCTGATAGAAGAATCTTGCGCTAAATAAAAAAGTAAACATTGTCTTTAATCTCCTGAAAAGAGAGGCTGGAGATCGGTGTCAGCTGAAAAACAGAACCCTGCCGCTGTCTGCAAACATTGACACTGGACTTGACGTGAAGTATGGAACGTTAAGATGAACACTGTCATGTTTCTAATCATCGTGTGTTCTGTGTGTTTTCCAGTACCTAAACCCCTTGTGGAGCTCCACGTGAAGCTGCTCAGAAAACTGGGGAGGTCTGTGTCTACTGACCGCTGGGAAAAATACCTGGCTAAGGTGAGGGCTCTGTGTATGTGTGTTTGTGGTGTGGAGTGACAACTGAGAATTTCCCACTAACATTAGAGCCTTACCTGTGTTGTGTTCAATGGACAGAGAAATGTTGAAATAGGAGGTGAGATATTAGCGAAGATTAAACCAACATATCAGACAGATTACTTGTGAAAACTGGTTTGTATGTGGTGACTATATCAGTAATTGTTTCCTGTAGGTTTGCCAGGAGTTGAACAACACCTGGGCATGGGAGCTGGAACAGAAGGGCTACCAGGAGATGTCCATGGAGTGCAAGTCAAGCATCCTCAAAGTATGAGATGCCTCTTTTTATTTTATGTAACTAAATGTCCAAAATCCCCCCTCCTCCTCTTTTCACACATTTCCATTGTTTACCTTTCAGTATCTCTGCGAGTGTCAGTTTGATGACAATCTGAAGTTCAAGATGGCGATCAATGAGGAGGACCCAGAGAAGATGCGTCTGCAGCCTGTAGGTCGGGACCGGTATGGTCTGATGTACTGGCTTCAGCTGGACCAGGAGCAGAACATCCGGCTGTACACGGAGGAGCAGGACGATCTGGACGGATCCACCTGGAACTGTATCGTCAGGTAGAACTGTCGTCTTCATCTGGTCCACACACCTGCCGTGGTGTGACAACAGATCAGGCTGCGATCACATCTATTGTTATTATTTTCTCTGCTCATTAGTCTGTATAGCTAAATTAATAGTTATCATAGGACTTAGGGTGTTAAGCTTAGGGAGCTATTCACTGAGTCTGGTCCATTTTCTGTAGCACAAGTTTCTTGTGTTTACTTTAAATAAACTCTGTAAGAAAAAAAAAAAGAAGTTTTTTTTACAATCTGGATCTTATTTTTTTAGAAAAGTTGTTTTTCAAATTTTTGTTTGGTTAGGTACACATTGCAAATTTACATGCCGACTTCGGCCTAAGGCTAACTTAGTTAGGCTAACTTAAAGTAGTCTCCTCACTTCTGAAAAACAAATTGTATTTTAAAAATGACTTGCGTTCCTGTTGTTTGAGCCACTTATCAATCTGTCTTCTCAGGACTCGTAACGACCTGGCGGAGGCTCTGGAGCTGTTGAAGGCTCAGATTGATCAAAACCAGAATCAGGACAAGGACCAGAACCAGAACCAGAACCAGAACCAGAACCAGAACCAGAACCAGAACCAGAACCAGGCTGGATCCAGGAGCGCCAGCCCCACAGAGAAAGATGCAGGTATGTTAGGCCAACGAATAGATATTGTTTATATTATTGATAGAAAAATCATCAGAGGATTAACAGCCTATGAATGCATGTAGGTGATAACTTCAAATTTTGTAACAGAGACAAAATATTTAAAGCAGCTGTTAAATTTTGATCATCTTCTCTCCTGCATGTCAGTTGAAATGCTGTTGAGGTTTTTATGACTACAGAAGACAAAACTAAGAGCCTTCTTAGCAATTGCATGTTACATGTGCACTGTATAGTCATAGCAGTAGATTATAATTCTAATAAGTTACAGAGTATTAAGTAAAGGGCAGAAGTTTCCAGTGCTCTCTCTCTCTCTCTCTCTCTCTCTCTCTCTCTCTCTCTCCCCCTCTCCCTCAGTCTCATTTTCTGTCTAAACTAAATTTAAATAAAATGTACAATGAAATCAAACATTCTCTTATTGATAGGCTTTGTCAAAGGCAAACTGAATGTAGAACGGTAGGGCTGGTAGTAGCGGAGAGCTAGCCGTCACGCAGGTGAAGTGAGTAGTGTGGTCCTAGTGTAACTTCTAAAGAGAAGAAAGACTGACACTAAACAATTATTGAAAACAGTTTCTGAAGTTCAGTCCGATCTAATGGAAAGCGAAACAAATCACTCAAACTGTGCTCAGAATAACATTTCAGGGAGCTGCAGCCCAGGAGAAAACAGGCCAGAGAGAAACGATATTAAAAACAATCTATTAATCTGAAGTTATTTAATTGAATAGTCTGTTCATTCTCTGTAGACACCTTACAGTAGTAATGGTAAGCGATGAAATTGTCTGTGTGTGTTTTTATGATGATTTAGGGGACGAGCCCATAGGAAGCACCAGCTCCAAACCCAAGACCACAGAGGAACATGCTATGAAGGTTGACCCTGTACAGGAAGACAAACCCCTAAGACAAGGTACCTAGATTAAAGAAACTGCTAGTAATCACTTGAGCTGGGACTAACAATACCTTTTTAAAGAAGTAAGTAAAATGTCTGACAGACAGACAGACAAACAGACAGACAGGTAAAATCTGAAAGATAGTTTTGGTTGTCCTTGATTCATGTTGAGCTAAATAAAAATTTCGGGGCAGTTATTTTTTCTTTATTGGAAAGCATACATCAGAGTGGGGATGACTGACATGCAAAAAATACGACAGGTGTTTCATCTGCCTGGTCAGCATCCTAAACCCCCGAAGGGCACCAGGACACCCTACAATTTTGTGTCTGTCACTGAACATGAGGGATGGGCAAATTGTATGTCAAAGTATCCACTACTACCAGTTACTTCCACTGTTTTACCTGCCAGATAGAAGAAAAGTAGAAAATGAAATATAATGATAGTCATTTAGCATCTCAGTGACTGGTAGACACCCTGATCAGCAACACGTCTTTTATTTGATACGGATCTGTTTTACGCGCCCTGTTCTGCTCCTGGCGCTCTGGCCCTTGTCTTGTTTGCTGTATCTGGGAGTATAAAAGTGTAATTGTGTTGTGGTTTTTGTGTTGTAGTGATAAAGCAGGAGCAGACATCGACCATCAAGCTGGAAAACACTGAGGCTGAGGTAAAGGAAGACAAGGCTGACCACAAGCCACCTGTGTTCGATAACCGCGTGAGCACCATCACCACCATCGTCAAATCAGAATCCAGGGACGCCGACGCCCCCAAAAATGCTGTGTCGGTCGTCATGGCACCAGGTGCGACTGTGACAAAACAGGAAATGAACAAGGAGGAGGAAGCAGGGCGGGCAGTCGTCAGGAGCAACCAGCAGGCCAAGATACCACTGAAGAAGAGGGAGCTTAAGCTTGCTGAGAGTTACCACAGCAACCACCTTAACAACAACAACAACAGCAGCAGTAGTATTATTGTCTGTAACCCTTCAGTGATCCAGAGCAAGGACAGCCATGGAAGAGAAGGGAAGTTACCTAACTCATTACCGCCCCCTGGCAGTCCAGCCGTCTCACAGCAGCAGCAGCTAGTGGTCACTGCATCAAGACAAGAACTGACCAATGGGAGGGCATCTCTCCTCCTGCCTCACAAAGAGGGACAAAATGGAGTTATAGGGGTCATTGGTCAAGTCGGTGTTATAGGTCATGTAGGGGTCATCCGCAGCCCATCTGAGCGTCACAGAGCCCCATGTGCTGAGCAGCAGGAACAAAACGGACCAAATATTGACCACTGGGGCTCCAGAGCTGTGGAGGAAGAGAGGGAGGTGAGCCGGCAGTCAGTGCTGGTGAGGAAGGGACCTTCCGAAGGGGAGATGGCAGCAGCAGCCACTGCTCTTCCTCCTCATGCAGCGAAGCTACCATTGTCATCATCAAAACCTGATCAACCCCCTGAAGCTGCAGAGAGAAAAGTGGACTCTGTTAGCATTTCTTCACTGTCTCAGTCCACAGAGGAACCCAAGAGACTGACGACGGAAGACCAGGGTAAAAGAACAACGGAAGAGCGGTTAGACAAGGAGACAAAAACCGGACACAGCAGTCGTCAACAGAAGGATGACGACGTGGACGGGAGGGAGGACAAGAGAAGAGAAGTGTCTGAGCGCCCTGTGGTAGATGAAGGAAGTAAAGATGAACATGAAAAGAATAAAAGCACTTTAGGGAAAGTGGGGACAGAATCAGGGGGCTCTGTTCAACCTCTAAAAGTAGAACAGAAAGATGAAAAGGACCACCAGGACCACCTGGGAGATGGGGTCAATGGTGGCCTGACAGCCCAGGTTAGGGTGAAGGACAATGGGCATGGATCAGAGGAGAGGCAGGGTCCCCTGGAGGAAGCCTCCTCTGAGCTCCAGAAAGAAGGAATCAGGCTGAAGATAAAGATTCCTCCCCACAGGAGAAACAAGTTGAGGGGGAAAGGGGGAAAAGAGGAGGGGAAAGAGAGGGAGCAGGAGGTACAAGAGGAGGGGAGGCCGTTGAGGAGATCTGCAAGGATTTGCAGGTATGTGTATAATAAAATAAAATGAAAATGGGGGCTTAGAGAATAAACTTGTGTTAGTTTTTGTCCTTTGTGATCTCAGCTACAGCTGGTTTGACTCTGACAATAAATTCAGTCCCATTTATACCTTTTTTCTTGAAGATCATCTGCTTTGCCAACCTGCAGGCCGAGCTCGAAGGCAGCTGAGAGCCAGAGGAAGAAACCACAAAGAAAACAAGTGCTGCCTACCAGAACGAGGGAAGAAGAGGAAGAGGAGGACGAAGAAGAGGAAGAAGATGAAGAGGAACAAAGTTCACCAACAAAGAAAGACAGAAAAGCAGAACCTGTCGGGCAAATTAGGAAACGAAGGGTAATCACTTTCTAAATGTGTGTCCTGTGAGTGTGAACACATAAACCTGGGTTGTTGACAGTTTCTCTGTTGCATGTTCAGGGTAAACGGAGGCATCGACGCCCCCGATGGTCCAACATTCGTTCGAAGAGACGTAAACTGGGTGAAGGAGGGGAGGTGGAGGACAGAGGGAGGAAACAAGGAGAGGAGGAGAGCGAAGGAGGGAGCGACTCAGAAGAATCATGTAAATCAGAGGAGATTCCCAGTGAAGATGCCTGCACTCACTGTGGCCTGCCCAACCACCCTGAACTGGTAGGAGAGGAGTGTTTCACTGTTTTCTTCTACACATACTAAAGTATTTGAGCACACCCAAAGTCTGCTATCGTTTTCTTGATAAGTGGCTGAAACAATAAATCGGTTATCTCTTCATCTACTGTTGGATGACTGATCACTCAAGTAAATCCAAAAAACTGAGGCCGTTTAAAGGCTTGGTTATTTCTGTGAACCCAAAGAGTTGTCACTATCAGTTAGAAATCAGCTACAGCTGATTCAGAATCTGCTGCCTGAGTCCTGACCAGGGCCAGAGGGAAAGATCATGTCAAACCTGTTTTAAAGTCCCTACATTGGCTGCCTGTCAGCTTCTGTATTGATTTTAAAAATTCTATTATTTGTTTTTAAAGCTGTTCATGGTCTTGCACCGGCAGACATGTCCCACATGCTTCCACTATATGAACCAGTACGGCTCCTCAGGTCCTCTGGCACAAGTCTGTTAATTGTTCTGAAGTGCAGGACTGAAAGCTTTGGCGAGGCAGCTTTTAACTATTATGCTCCGAGCCGTTGGAGCAGTCTGACCCGAGGACCTGAGAGCAGCCGGAAGTGTTGAAATGTTTAAACGTAAACTCAAAACGTTCCTCTTCAGCCTGGCTTTTCATTAAATATAGTTTTTAGTCATTAGTCACTTTATTTGATTCCCTTATTTTATTGTAATTATTTATTATTGTATTTTATTCTATTTCAGCTGTTCTTTTATTATTCATTTTCTTGTTTGTCTTTGTTTGCAATTGTTATTATAGCTTTTAAATCTATTTTATTGTATCTCATTGTCAGCTTTCTTATTTGATTTGTCCTTTATATTTATTTTGTATGAAAAGGGCTGTACAAAAAAAGTTTGATTGACAAATGAGTTATTTCACTTTTCCTGTGTGTGTGTGTGTGTCTGTCTGTGTGTCTGTGTGTGTGTCTGTGTGTGTGTCTGTGTCTGTGTCTGTGTCTGTGTTCTCAGATTCTGCTGTGCGACTCCTGTGACAGTGGATACCACACTGCCTGTCTGCGGCCGCCGCTCATGTTGATTCCAGATGGAGAGTGGTTCTGTCCACCCTGCCAACATGTAAGCTGTGTGTGTGTGTGTGTGTCTCACACCTATTTATTCAGCTGGTAAAACTTGATCTGATGTCAAACAGTCTTGGTCCTTAATGTGTTGGATTGATGGTTTGAAGAAAAGTTCATTGTGAGTTTTGTTTTCATATTGACAGTAAGCCTGTGAAAAAAAAAAGCAAAAACTAACACAGACATTTTCATTTAACAAAAGTTACCACAAGTTTCATGTTCAAAATGGGATATAGACCAGGATACCCGGCCCTCATAATTAAGACATTTTCAAAGAGAAATTTTCAAACATTGACATTGTGATGTTTGGTTTTCCTCCTTTCAGAAGCTGTTGTGTGAGAAACTGGAGGAGCAGCTGCAGAATCTGGACAGTGCTCTGAAGAAAAGAGAGAGAGCAGAGAGGAGGTAAAAACACACACGCACACGCACACACACACACACAAACACACACACACACTCTGTACATGATGTGGATTTTGACCCTCCTCTCTCCCCGTCTATCCAGGAGGGAGCGGCTGGTGTATGTGGGAATCAGTGTGGAGAACATCATACCTGTGAGTAAATCACAAAAAGCCTACGATTGTAACCTCTTCAAGTTTGAATATTTTTGATGATATAATATTTTTTATCAGTGTAAAAATGCGGCTTCATGTTAATTTCTGTCAGTTTAAACAACTTTTGCTGTAAAAACATTTGCACACAATTAAGCTTAGTAGCATTTATATAGTAAATATAATGGTACCCACACCCTCCTAAACATCAAATTCAAGGACTTTTCAGGGATTTTAAAGGCCCAGTTCCCTGAAATTCAAGGACCCAAGATGCCATAGTTTGAGACACAGAACAACCTGTGTTAAAGTAATGGCAGACTCTGGTCTCTTGCCTTCTCTAACACAGCGAAACAATACACTGTGTAAGCTGAACGATAGACACAGAGACTCATTTACCAGTTGAAGAGAAAGTATATAAATTCGAGCACTTTCAATGACCTGTGACTATTTATGTCTCCTTTTTCTTGATTTTTTTTTTTCTCAAATTCACAAACTGTCAAAGATATCACGGCCCCTTGGGAACCGTGTGTAAGGGACGAACAGAAATGTGAAGTTTCATTCATTCACTACAAAGTAGCTTGCTCGCATTTACAGTTATCACACTGCAACGGCCGTCACAAGGGAAGCAGCAGTCTCGTGTTTCTTACCTGGTGTTTCTCAGTTGGACCAGTGAGACACGGATGTTGCTTTTACAACATACATTTTACAACATAAAACTGCCCGTTGAAACTAATACATTAGACTCATCTTGTGAAATAGACAAACAAACCAAATTAAAGTACTATTTTATATTTTACTGTGTGACATTAAAAATTATTATTTTGACCGTTTCAGGAGGGAGATGAGGAGGAAGAGGAGAAGTCCCCAAAGAAGAAAGATTCCAAAAAGAGTAAAAATCTGGGAAGGAGATCAACCAGAACCAGGAAACACATCAGCTACAGGTGGGTGTGGCCTGACAGGGGTTAAAGGTGTGCTGGGGGTATTCCAGATAGTGGGTTTAGTGACGTTTGGGGAGTTATTTAACCCTGAAATAAGGGAAACTAGGTTTTCTGTCCCAGAAACTAGGATCACTTCAACTCTGAGTAAGTTATCACAGTAATTTGCTCTGTGAATCCAACCTGAGTTTCTCTGGGTCTCCTCCTGCCCTCCTTGAGCCTAAAGGAGGTGATCTCTGTCCTTGCATTCATATATTACACATCATGGGCTCATCCTCAGCTCAGCAAAAAATCTTCACACTGTCCGTCGGACATTGAAGTAGTATGTAGTTGAAAAAGATTTTGAATAAAGGCTGCATATAGTCTGAACTTGTTTTAATAGCATATCACGTACTGTATTTAAATGTACCTCATGTTAAAATATACTTGAGCTTTAGCCAGATTTTTAAATGTAAAATCAACATCTGAAAATTTATCAAATCACTGGGTCAGACAGGAAGAGGCCACAATCACAGGCTTATAAATAAACCTATGTCTTATCTGTTTGATCTGCAATGGGGTCCAAAAGTCTAAGACCATTTTCCCTTTCACTTGAATGGGAAAGCTCAAACTTACTTACTGTATATTTTCATCTTCCGCTGCCAGCAGCACTTGGCCATGTTCCATTCAGATTACAGCTGAATAAATATATTTCAAAAATAATGTAGCTAACAGAAGGATTTCAGCATTTGAGCATCCATTAAAGAAATTCAAGTCTGCTAAATAATATGGTGTATTGGACTACAGTGAATAAAATGTGATGGTGTGAACCTACTGACTCTTTTCTGGCGACTCAGGCTCTTTTACTGCTGCTGCCACACATGAAACTTTGTAGCTCCGCAGAGACTCTGCTCTTTATTTACTGTTTCTATGGTGAATCCCAGTATTGGAGATCCATGGATGATGGGTTTTTTTCATTCACCATGTACACACCTGTCTCAGAGTGAACAGACTCAGATCAGCTGTTCTGGAACCAACAAAGTTTCTGGGCTCAGGATTAATCCACTTGGAGTTCAAAGTTTGTCAAACCCACTTGCTGGAAAACCACATGGGGTTTTCTTATCAAATGTGTGATGATCGATCATAAATGTAAAATCTCAGACTGAGGCAGTCAACATCTGTTTTGCATGTGTGTGTTGCAGATTTGATGACTTTGACGATGCCATTGATGAAGCCATAGAGGAGGACATCCGAGACCTCTGTGGTGGTGAGTGGACGATTTGAAGGTTGAAGAAACGAGGCAGATTTCCTGCTGTCCTGGTTTATAGTCATTTTTACATGAGCGAGAGCATAAATAAACCTCCCTTTCTTGGACAACAGTTTATAACAGGAAGGGACTTGAACAGCTGTTTTATTCAGTTATTCCAGTAAATCAGCCGTAACTGCAAAATAACAACATTATTATAATGAATTAAAAGATCAGCACACTGTGCTAATAGCTCAGTGTAAGTGCCATTGACAGTGCCTGACGAAGATCCTTGCAGATCAAAATGTTGCTGTTTTATTCAAATTTCTGGGGGCTATCAGCAAAGTGTTTGGATCTTTTTTCTTACTGTGGCCCTCACTTGACCCAGCTCCGGTGGAGAACTATCGACCGGTCTCACTTCTTCCATTCTTATCTTATTAGTGTATTGAAAGTATGGTTTTCAAGCAGGTCTCATAATTCCTCTCATAGAATGACCTCCTGATCCAGATCAGTGGAGTTTTAGAGCGGCCACTCCACTGAAACAGCTCTGTTGTCTGTGACAGAAGCCCTGAGGGCAGCTGGGACTGTGATACAGTGAACCACTGCATCCTGCTGTCTGTTCTCTCCAACATGGGCATCACAGGCAAAGTGCTTTCTTGGTTTGAATCCTGTCTCACTGGGCGCTCCTTCAATCTGTCATCGCAAGGACAAACATTCTTATCCCATTCCCTCCCAACAGGCGTGGCCCAAGGATCGGTTCTGGGACCCCTTCTCTTTAATATACACCACCTTCTTGGGTCCAATTATCCACTTGCATGACTTCTAATATCACTGCTATGCAGACGAGACCCAACTACACCTGTCCTACCAGACGACCCCACGGTCTCTGCCTGGATCTCAGCCTGTCTCTCTGATATATCCACATGGATGAAGGAACACCACCTTCAACTAAACCTTTCCAAGACTGAACCCTTAGTTGTCCCGATAGCACCTCCTCTCCTAACACCTCTAACACCCTGACATGACAAACTAGCTCTGACTTCTCTGCACTTTTTACCTGATATCCTTCACTTATTAGATAGATGTAGCACTTAGCGCTTACACCAAGGTCTCCTATTGCAATGAAGCTTTAGTGATATCACTCACTCGTAAGTCGCTTCGGATAAAACCATCTGCCAAATGAGTAAATGTAAATGGTTGGTTGATAAATTTGGAAGAAAAGACGTGTGTGTGTGTGTGTGTGTGTGTGTGTGTGTGTGTTTTATAGGCTGTAACTGGCACAGATGGCCACAGTGAGATTGAACCCATAGGGAAAATGGGGGGCTGTGGGGCAGCTGAAAGAGGCTGACGCTGGTGTAATCAAAACCTGTGGTGCGTTTGTCATGGTCTGGACAAGAGGTTCTGTAGAGCTGTTTGCCTCCGAGCTGAGGTGACATTTAATAGAAGAGTGAACACTCAGACCAAAAAGAAAAGTTTTTTGTCTTTAAAAAAAATGATGCGTTCTATGTATTCTATTTTAAGTTTTATCTTTATTTATTTTTTTATATCTTTTACTCTGTTATTATTATCAAGTGGGTTTTTATTATTTATCTCACTTACAATGATGTTTTTAACATGTTTTTATATCATTTTATGTCATTTTCATGTGAATCACATGGTACATGTAATTTCAATTGAATTTTAATTGCATAGCGCCAAATCATAATATACATCATCTCACAGCACTTTACAGGGTAATTGCATTGTTGCAAAGCACTTTGAGCTGCAAATGAATGATATTATTAATGTGATTATTAATGTAGTAAATATAAGAAATCTAATGAATTTATTATTAATTCACATCATTCATGCCAGGTGGGGAGGTAGGTTGTTCAGCTGGACAGTTTGGAGGAAATGTGTCAGTTGACAGGATAGCCTCTGTGAAGAGTGTAGCAGACAGGTAGCTGCACTCAGAGTCATGTGATCATGCTCAAACGTAACATTTAATTCAACCCGAGGTGACGACTTTTTGACTGTTTTGACTTTCTGATGTAGGAACAGCACGAGGCAAAGACATCACTGCCATCCTGTCAGAGGACGGCAAGGAGAGCCAGCGGCCAATCAGAAGTCAAGCTCATGCTGCCAGAAACAGGAAGAAGCGGAGACTGAATGACCTGGAGAGTGACAGCACAGCAGCAGAGAGTGAAGATGAGTTCATGCTCAGCAACAGGTGACACACACACACACACACACACACACACACACACACACACACACACACACAGTCTTTCAGTTCTCTTTCCTCCACTCTCTCTGCCACCTGGCTTATTTCTTCTCTTCTTCCTCTAACAGCTCAGAGGATGAAGATTTTGGTGCATCAGGGGCAGATGATGATGAAGAAGAAGATGAAGATGCTGGCAGCGAGGTGGGCAGCTGGGACAGCGGGACCCGCCCCAGACGAGCAATGAGAGGGGTGCCTAAACACAGACCCAGCAAGACCCAACGCAGGGGCAGGAAACGGCTGAGACGGTGGCGGAGACGCTCCTCAGAGGAAGAGGAGGAGGAAAGCGATGAAGAAATGGGTGAGTGCACGATGAGGGGAAACTTCCAGGCTGCAAGACACTTACACTACAATAGCAGAGTTCATTGAGTGGGAGTCATCGAATATGACAATGTTAATTGAAGTAAAAACTATGACGTCATTGAAACTTTTAAATCCTCTTCATCACGGGATCTGCTGTCATTACAGCTGATGTGATATATAATAAATATTTAGAAGGAAATCTCTTCATCAGGATGGAAAGCGTTTAGACAAAAAAGTAGTATTTTGATAACTGAAAAATCATTTTAAGCTTTTTAAAGTAAGAATTACAAGCATCCTTCAAGTCTTTTTTATCAAGTATTTTCGGTGTACAAAAATACAAATACAAACAGAGCATTGTATCCATCTGATAACAAGTGCCCACCCAACAGCGCACCAGACCTACGCCACTGAGTGAAAGTTAGTCATTCCTGACAACTACAAGGGGAGCAACATAAATATTAGGGAATTACATTCTCTGCTTCCATTTTTTCCACTAATGTTGAGAATGACTGCCAAGCTACATGGAATTACAGAGCAGACCCTTGAAGAGATATTGTATAACCTCTTTGATCCAGTGAAAATACACAAGGGGGGAGAGGGTCTTTCCATCTGAACAGTATGAGCCACCAGCATGTTGCACCTGTGATTGTTAGGATGCAACACTGAATTAAGCAATAAGAGGGGACGGATCCGATGGCTCTTGTAGTATTTTAGAGAAAGTATGAAAGATTGACTGCCACAACGGGTACAGCCTCGGACATGTCCACAACATGCGTAGTAGGCTTGCAAGGACCTGCCTGCATCTGTCGCATGTGGAATCCAAGTCCGGTCTGACCTTTGACCGATGAAGCCGGCGTACTATCTTGAAAAACTTGCAAAACACGCTGCTGTTGACAAATGGATGATGAGTAGTTAGAAACATTCTCTTGTTCCAGCTTCACACATGAAAGGAGCTGTTGTTTTTCTTTGTCATATATTGTTCTAAACTGAATTTCTTCGGCTTTTTTGTGGTTGAACAAAACAAGACATCTGATTCACATCACAGGACTCTGGGATTTGTGATGGGCATTTTTTTTTTTTTACTATTTCCCGACATTTCAATTATGATTAACCAATTAATCAAAAACGAAAAAAACTAACCCCAACCCCAATGATTGTAAAATGCCAGGAAACATTTTAAAAAGCTTAACTAAAGTTCCCATATTCCAAGGTGACATTTGTACGTCTTGTTTTTTCAGCACTGAACCCAGAGAGAATCAGTTTACAATGGTTTGATAAAAAAAGAGCAAATCCTCACATTTGAGAACCTGGATCCAGAGAGTATTTTTGCAATGTTCTTTGATAAACGACAATCCATCATCAAAATTGTTATCTGTGCATCTTTACCGTCTCTGTCTGTCTTCTTTCCAGATTCGGATCAGTTCAGTGACATGACTGACAGTGACGCTGACAAAAAGAGGCGGGGTCTGAGGCGGGGCCAGCACCAGCAGGTCAACTACCGTGAGACGTCCGAGTCGTCAGACAACTCCCGGACCTCCGCCGTCAAGACCAAGGTCAAACCCAGAGGCAGACCACGCAAGGAGCATCTCTCCAGCGACTACAGCGATGGTCAGTCATCGACGGCATCATGTGCAGCGTTATTTCCTTTCAGATTATTTTTACTTGGAGGTCAAACTGTCCAACCACCAATCAATTTACATATTTATTTACATAGCCCGAAATCCAGAATCACAAATTTGCCTCAAAGGCAGCAAACAACACCCTCTATCTTTAGATAGTGAATAAGGGGAAAAATATATCAGACACCAAACGCTGTATAACAGGGCTATTCAGCTATGTTGTTCAGGGGGCCACATCGGCCCGGACGTTTCCCTGAGCTATTCTCTTTATGTATGTACACTTGACACAACATGCCGCCACATCTTCAAAACTTTTATTTTGCCACATTGCAAAAGAAGCCTCATCATTAACTACTAAGAGAATAAATAGGCCATCTTTACGTAATCAGGCCAAGTAGTCAGTTAGATTTTCTTCGACGCAAATGTGTTTACTTCAACAAAAGTACACACATAGTTTTCTACAACGCATTGTGTCAGCTGTCTGGCATATCATTTGGTTAATTCTTCGTCTTTGTAACATCTTTAACAGAGCTACATCACCGCATTTTTAAGTGACAAAAAGAGGCAAACAACAGAAGAGAGCAAAGAGAATGGAAAAAGTCCAAGATGAACTGAACTTGCCTGTGAATTTGATGACAACACAACACAAATTAATCTTGAAAGTTTGGAACATTTTGACAATAGATGCTGCTGTTACTTCCTGGGACCAAGAAGGCTGCTGCTCTATTAGAGCCTCTCTTTGGTTTAGAGGATTTATTGTAACAAAAATGTATTTGTAATTAAACAATAGACTTGATTGATGGGCCGGAGTTGGCACCGCGATGGCCAATTGAATAGGTCTGCTGTATAATATTACATGACCAAACCATGTGATTTATTTTGATAGGTACTTCCTGTACTGTTTACGTGTTGAATGTTCAGATTTTGAGGAGACATGCAACTGAAAACAGGTTTTTACTAAACTTTCTGAGCCTCTGTACTTCACACTGCTTTACACACATTCAGTTAAAGATAGAGTCCATTCAAGTGTTTGTGTTGGTGTGACGGATGAATGGAAAAAATGTAACCTACCGCAAGAAAAAAAATCTTCCAGGTGATGTGTTCATAAGGTTCACCTCAGCTGTGTCACTGAAGGGCGGGAAGAGCTCGTCATTCGTTTATTCCACCCATTTAATCATTCCTCTGTTTTTCTTCCAGTGTTGCCTTCTTCCAGAGACTCGGAGGAGGAGGATGATTATGAAGATGAAGAGGAGGACGACCAGCGAAGGAGAGTGAACAGGAGGAGAAGAGAGGAGGAAGACCTCCAAAGAAAGAGGATGAGAGAAAAGCGGAGGAGATACGAAGACGAGGAGGACGAGGAGGACGACAGAGAGAGGGGGAGGCGGCTGAAAAGGAGACTGTTGGAGAAGGAGGACGACAGAGACAAGCAGAGGAGGTTAAAGAGGACAGACAGAGACGAGGAGGACCTGGAGAAGATGGGCAGAGGGAAGAGGAGAGAGATTCTGTCACAGCAGCGGCGCAAACGGCTCGCTCAGATGCTGAAGAAGCGGCGGCCTTCGACGGACGACGAGGATGAGGATGAGTCAGAGGAAACCGAGTCGTCATCGGAAGAGGATCGTCCAATCCGCAAAAGACTCAACCGCATCGACTCTGATGATGATGACGACGACGGCGACGATGATGATGATGAAGAGGAAGACGAGGAGGAAGAGGGGGGAAGACAGAGGATGACGACCAAAAAGTCTTCAGTGGTAGAGAGGAGAGCCGACAGCGACGCTCAGGAAAAGGGAAGGGGCCGCAGCCTGTCTCCGTCAAACAGACATCGGACCTCCAGAGGCCCAGCGAAGTCTGGGGCTGGAAGTCCCACTGCGCCCAGGGACAGTGCAGGATCAGGCAGGCAAGGCAGGCACAATGGCCCCTTCCATCCAGAAGGGGGGGAAGATGAGGAGGAGGAGGAGGAGGAGGAGGAGGAGGAAGTCCGCAGTCATGATGGCTGTGTTTGTGTGAATAACGCTTGATTCTTTCTTTTCGGTTTTTCTTTTAACTGTCGGCCTCTCACTCACAAACCACCTTTGAAACTGGATATCTCTCTTTCCCTCCACCGATTTCTCTTCTCCTTCGTACTCCCCCGTCTTGCTCTTCCTCCTCGCTGTTGTATTGTAGTAGGGTGCTATCCACCATCACATACTGTACAGAAACTCGTGAGTACCAGTACCCATTTCCACTCATCATCACGTCTGGCGGAACAGAGCAGCCAGCAGGCCGGACCAAAAGCATCCTCACAGCAGAACTGGCAGCACTTCATGCTTCAGCAGACGCACTCGCAGCTGGAGGTTATCGTGACCATTTCCCTGAACTCTTGAGTTATGGACGTCTGTCTGGTGGCTCCATGTGACAGTATGATAGTGGTTTCATCCCATTTGGGTCTGACTGTATTGGACACAGGAGTCTGTTTGTAGTGTACCTCATCCTAAAGCACTTCATCATTCTCATCGCACTTAATAACCTGCCACCAAGGAGAGGGCCAGTGTCGAACCGAACACGTGATGGATGAAGATCTGTCACAGAATGACATAGAAGTATAGTTTCTAACTTCCGTCTAGTGTTGTCTACCCACACAGATTGTTCCGGTTTTATTTGTGCAGGCTTTGAGATTTCTTCCTCCAAAACAATGGAAGTGAATGGAATTGTGTTTGTTTCATTGTTGTGGTGCTGTCCTGAAAAATGACCCAGTAGCCTGAGGGTTAATGTGTATATCACAAATCTTCAATTACCGAGGTTTGGCCACTGGGCAGGAGACATTTGCTGCATGTCATGCAAAATGTTGAGTTTTTAAAATACCATTTTTTTTTCAGCGCAGTAAGCACCACCTACTAAATAAAGGTTCACTTCCATTGTGTTGGTGTCGTGGCTTTAATCTCAGGCAGATACGTCAAAACTTGCACAAATCAAATCTAATCTATCACCATGGTGACATACTGTTAGAGCTAAGGAATCCACTTTTGGAGCAAGTTGCCTCTTCTAAGTTTTTTTTTTTTCCTGGATAAGATCATGACCCAAACAACCAAAGATGTAAAGCGGTCAACAGCCTTATTTACATGCTGACTACAGTTATAATCAGACCTTAGTCCACTGAAACTGGTCAGGTCCCAACTCAGGAGCTGGATCCACTGAAGGACTGGTCAGACCAACCCTGCTCCTCTTCCTCTTCATCCTCCTCACACGAGACAGTTCAGACTCATGAGAGCGCAACAGTAATGGTGCATTCAGGTGCTCCTCGTCAACCTGTAAAGTAAAACATTTTGGATTTTTAACTTCCCAGCGGGCAAACAACGTACGTCTATGGTAAATCTTAGTAGTATAGAGCTGAAAAGATTAGCCCATGAATTGATCAGTTGATCAACTATTTTCATAACCTATTAATTGTTAAGATCTTTTTTTTTTAAAAGCAAAAACACCAAACATTTATTTTCATGTACAGCTTCTCATTAGTGATGATTGGCTGCTTTTCTTTGTCTAATGTGATAGATAGAATATTTTTAGGCTTTAAGAACGTTGTCAGGCAAAAAAAAAAAAAGAAATTTGATGGAAACTTCAGGAAATTTTGACAATTTTTTCTGATATTTTATAGACTAAACAATTATTCAGTTATGTGAGAAAATAACAAAATGTAAAATAATCATTAGTTGCAACCCTGATAAATATATTTGTATAACTTGTATTGAAATCTTGTAATGAACAATATTTCGAGGACCACCTGAACGCAAATACGTGATGTAGATGAGGATCGCCTGAACACATATTAAAAAAACTGGCCATTCAATTTATAGTGGGATACAAGCATGCAGCACTTTGTCTTGTAATTGTCAATTTTAGAAATATGTGTTTTTTTAGATACAGACTGTCAGTCATTTAAACTCATATAAATCATAAATAAAATACAAATGCATTAACAGCAGCATCTTCAGAACATTAAATCTAAGTGGCTGTACATGATATCTATCCATTTGACACATTGGACCGTTTTGGATTCGGGACGTTGCCTCTGACCGTCAGTGTTCGGTTTCGGACTGGTCGCTCATTTGTCCCGTGTGTTCACAGAGCCTTGGTGGGTGGGGACACGTTTGCTGTACATACTTTGCCTGTACGCTGTTCCTTGTAAGATAATAGATGTTTTGTTCTTAGTCCTCTTGTAAAATATAGTGTTATATTTTCTATATGAAGGAGAGGAGTTGAGATGCTGCTGTGGGTGATGTGTGGATCAATGGGGTTTCATTTCAATGGGGTTTCATCGACGGTTTGCTCATTTGAGATTCTGCAGCCGTTGTGTGAAATAAGACCAGCGTTGGACCCTGTTCTCCAGTAAACTGTGACAGAATACTGCTCACTTTCAGGCCTGTGTGGTACAAGCTCAAAGGTTTTTAACACTTCGTATCCCTGAAGGGAACCCCAGGAGTTTTTAAGAGGGAACAAAGCTTTATTTTTTTGATTGAGGCTCAGGGGAGGAAAATGAACGCTGGTCAAAAAAAAAAAAAAATCAAACAACTTTTAACTTTGTTTTCTCCACCAGCCATCTCAGCTTCTGAATAAGCATCACTGTAAGAATTCACATGGTTTTATCTGGTCAAACGGCTGAAGTGACAGGTGAATTTATGGGCTCACTGCGAGGTCTCTTCTGTTGGGCAGAATGGAAGAATTCCTTCAACTTCATACTGTCAAATCACTGTTTAGGCTTTAAATGAGTTTGATCCTGCTGTTCACATAAACCGAGCTGTTAACGTGAAGCCTGGCCTTGTTTTACCCTGGATACCCCGGATGTTGAATCTCTAACGATCCCACTTTAAATGCAGATGGTTGGACTCAAATGTTACTACGACCTCGCAGATCTTTCTTTTACTTCTCTCTGTCCAAACTCTGGGCCTGTGTTTATCAAACCTCTAAGGATTACACTTCAAAATGCTTTAAAGAGCGAAGTTAGGAATAAACAAGTTACTGAGGGTGAGCAATAAAGCACTTTTATTAAGATCATTTACTTTACAGCACCTGCTTTTAACTCTCTCTTTCTCTGTTTGATTAATTTTAATTACTAAGAAATGTTGTGAATAACTTTTATCTTCAGAGTAAAAGTGAGGGATTTTTTCCTTTTTCCTTTTCACTTAAGTCCAAAATATGACTTTTATCCGGTTGATAAATTCGGGCCCAGATCAGATTGATCCTCCAACTTGATTTTGGATTCACATGTGACGTGTAGAGACTCTGTGAAATGTCTTCTCACTTGATTTTCTTTGTAGCTCTGTTTTTACAACACCTGGCCTTTTTCTGATGAACCTCACATAACATAAGAGTACGTTTTAATGAGCCCTGGTTCCAAACAGAGCAAAAGCACTAACCTGAGGCCCCCTCAAAGACATTTCAAGTAAGATTATGTTTTAATTGACCTTCATCCAAGTAACTAACACAGTTGACTCTAGCTCTTATCACAAAGGGACTTCAGGGGCTTCCAGGAGCAAGAGATACAGTCACAGTTAAAGGATTGTTTTCTTTTTTCACCCGAAGATGTCACAAAGCAAATTGCAAAGTTTTCTACAGTAAAAAATTTGAAAGACAATTTTGGTGTGACTCCCTTTTTAAGAAGTGTTTTGTGGTCACACTGTTTGTCAGAAACAGACCGATCGAGTAAACTCTGTTTCACGTGTCAGAGAACATAAAAAAGTAAACTGAAGATCAATATGAAGAGAGATAAGAGCTAGATGATTTCTCAAGTTCTTTCATTCCATTTTCAAACCGACATGTGAATTATTGTTGCGTGTATGCTGGTGTGCGATCTGTAGAAGGTCAACAACTCAGTTTCTGTAGCTGTGAGTGTTTACCAGTGGCCCTATTTATTAGATCCTGGTCTGAAATTTGAATAAATGACAAGTGTTCTTTGACAATATCCTCTATAATCATTTTGAAGAACATTCTGTAATCATTAAAAAACAGAAAATCAAGGCTATACAAGTCAAATGTCAGATTATTTTGGTGATTTACATTTAGCTTATGAAAAAAAAACTGCCAAAACTGGAGGATTTTGTATAAATATCAGCTTTAGAAAACTCACTGCTTTTATTTGCTGTTGGGTTGCAAACACAAGATTTGTGCTGAAGAATCTCAGTGTGTCAGAATCACCCAACTAAGATGGAAAAGTTGATAATTGGGATTTCTGGGTTTGGTACAAGCTTCCTGGCGCTGCTCTCTCACAGTCAGCTACAGTGACTAAACAGATCCCAGATGGCTGGAGTTCAACCAGCCGGTCAATTACTAAATGTTCTTTCCGGTACTTTCCTGTGACTGTTCAGGTGTTGTGGGACTTTGTTGTGAAAAAGTACCAATTAGAAGAGATAAGATGCTCTTTGGACTGGGTCTCATTAGCTGTTCTCACTTGTACTCATGTTATCCATTGCAGATGTGATATGTGTCTAGATGTTAAAAACAGAGTGTTTTAGAAAATCCCCTTCATGCAGAACTGCAGGGTCAGCATCTCCATCATCAGCAATGAGCTCAGCTGGACTCTCAGTGCTTAAGATTTCACTTACATTAGGCCGAGGTAGAACCAAAAGTTTTATGATTTTTAAAAAAAAATTTTATCCACAGTTTGACCCCCCCCCCAACCCCACCTTTAGCAGAAAGGGGAGATTAATGTGTGCTTATGCCACCAGCCCAAAATCTATCCAGTGAACCTGATGTGCATCTGCATTTGCCACCGTGGCAGATTGTGTTGGTTTTAAAATGGCACCACTGGATGTGACTGCAGCTCCTTCCATTTCTCTGTTGTACTGTTACTGTAGTATCGCTGTAACATAAATGTTTTCTAAGTTATTAAAACCAACATCCCAGGCATCTCCTCAAACACACACCGTGTCTGTGCCTTGTTTTTATTCCTGAATAGGATTCATTGAGAGAAATTTGATTCCAGTCCTGAAAATGAGGGAGAGCAGAGAAGTGGATAATTGTCCTGCAGGAGGAGTTTCTGCTTTTT